CACGTGATGGGAGTTTTCGCCATTGGCAAACCCCATAGAAAGTGTATGAGTAGTTACACACTTTCGGGAGCTTATAACATGGTGCAGTTATGCACTGTGTAGAATTTCTCACCTCGTAGAAGTCGTCACACGGATCAACGGACTTGTTCAAGGCGGACACCATGTGGCCAGCCAGCGAGACGCATGCCGAACTCATGCATACATCCTACAGAGCAACACACAATAATCAAACAGAAATTACGGTTCGTGTTATACTCATTGAGATTATGAAAATCAGTTATGTGCAACTTCTCTACTGTCTAATGTTGACACTGTAGGCCAGAGTACACTCTAGCGTGAGCACGGGGTTATAGCCAGGTAAAAATAGTAGGTTGGCGGGCCGGGGGAACAGTTACCGGTAACCCATTTTTTTCATTTTCCAAAATTACCTTGCCACACAAAATGCAACGTATGGGGGCAACCCCCTCCCCAGGCTTCACTCCCGATAATCATGTCTTTATGATCGGTAACTGCATGCATTTTCGTAATGTGACCTGAAAAAACACAAAAATCGAGAAATGAATAGGGAGGCTGCACTTTTTCACAGGGCGGGGCGGGGGGGGGGGGGCACAAACAGAGTAGGGGGCGCTGCGCTCCCTACCCCCTTTGGCTAGAACACTGTAAACACATTGTGAATGAAATCCCGACTCTTGGACACCGTATATTACAGTGTTTTAGGAAATTAGAGGCCACATGCCACGTACTGCTCTTTTCTCCGTGAAGTCCAAATTTGAAATTGCAATTTGTATAATGCAGTGAACCCTGAAAATAACGAGCCGCGATCGTGCACGGGAAACTCATCACAAGGCATGCACTCACCCACAGTCACGACTGTTTGCCACTGGGATTGCACTGACGGCGTACTAAGAGCAGACAAATACATCTATCATCTCCTTTCGCATTTCAACATCGCATACTATCCACCAGTGCTACCCCCGTCCCAACATGCAGGTTTCAGCAATAAGTTGGCCCACTAATTAGACAAACCTCACCTTTGATCCTGAACCGGGCTTTCCGTTACCCTGTGATAAAGACCAGAACAAGAAGAAGCAGAAACACAACAGTTATCACTGCAAATAGATAGGTGCTGGTTACTCGCACGGATGTGACATTGGCGTATGATCCTGCAGATGATAAAAATGAACGCCTGGAGCACCGCTGTTGGATGTGCTCTGTTCTTTCATTGCCCTTGCACTACCCTTGTATCACATTCTGCGTCGTGTATAGGCCATGTATAGCCATGTATAGGTCATGTACTGGGTCATGTCCTGAGTCATGTCCTGGGTCATGTCCTGGGTCATACACTGGGTCATATCCTGAGTCATGTATGTCATGTCCCAGTACATGTCCCAGGACATGTCCCGGGGCATGTCCCGGGTCATGTCCTGAGTCATGTACTGAGTCATGTTCTGGATTCTGTCCTGGGTCATGTCCTGAGTCATGTCCTGGGTCATGTACTAGGTCATGTCCTGGGTCATGTCCTGAGTCATGTACTGGGCCAGACTTGTTGTGAAAATAACCATGCACTGAGCTTCCGGCTTCTGCTTCTGGCTCGTCAGAAGCACCACTCCGTTTTATTCTTGTGTTCTGTAAAAAGGCGGTTTGTCCTACGAAGGCACTGGCACTTTCACGGTTGAGCAATCACGGTTGAAAATTCATGACAGATGTCACCAAGTGTTGTTGTACAACTACACCGAAGTTCAGTCATCACTGCTGCACTCACTAAACCTTTCGAGGTCTTGGTGAACACTCTTTGTCCTCAAAGGGAGCCGACAACTTTGCAGTTGAGCAAGAACGCGTGCCTCTTCTCACGTCGTACCTGTACGGCGCAAAGAGTCTGCAGTGCGAGTGTGTGTGTAGAGGGAATGGCTCTAATGCCTGCAATTGGACCGCAAACTGAAGTTCCCGTAACCATGGTGTCCGGATCATTGTCCGGATAACTGACCTATTGAGTGTGTAGTCATACATAAGCCGATACTCCGGCGATAGTACTTACCGTTGACCCCCCCCCCCCCTCCCCATCCTCTGTCAATTCCCTACTTGAATTTAGGAAATATTCAGGCAAGTCTTGGTTTTAAATTTTGACAAAGCATGGGTCCCAGCACTGGCGATCATAGGCGCGAACGGTTCGAGTACCACTTTTGATCAAAATAGTTCGGGATCGGTGCCGGGGCAGATCGCCGAGATGATTTACAGCGTTATTTTGGTAGGCATTGCACATCATCTCAATGTGCCAGGAGAGGTTGCAAGAGGCCCAATACAGGTGCCTCCCCGCGCATACTGGCGAGAACCAACCTTTAAAAAGTATTACAATTCAAAAATCCAGATACTAGTGTAGTGGGCGAATGTGTGGATAATTTGAATAGCCGGATAATGATAAGTTTTCCTCTGCAACTTGGGATTCGAAGAACTTCGAATTAGCAGGAGTTCACATACCTGAGGAAGTATAGTGTTGAAGGAGAATGTGCACGTGTGTGCGTACGTGTTACACGTGCTGTATGTTCGTCAGCATGCAAACTCAAGGTAAAAGAAAAATGGGAAACATCGTTGTTCTCACCTGGTCTTTGTATCCTGTTCTGAGAACGGCCACGTAGATGCTCAAAGCGAGGCAAGACAGGAAGAGGACAACCACGACGCACTTCAGAACCGAATTCCGACGCCGGAACTTTGAGGCGTCCAGTTGGGAGGTCAGCAGTGGCTCTTGGTCGCAATAGTCCTGCAAAGGAGTGTCCTTCGGTGGCATTCTGTCAGCTGTGCGCCTCAGCACCGGATCTGGACAGCAGCTGTGGTTCCTCAGATTCGAGCAAGCATGCAAGAGCGAGAAGCGGGCGAGGAAGTATTACAGCATGCAGAGCAGACAGTGGAGAGGAAAAATGCACATGACGAGTCTACACAGTGAACTCAAAACAAAGCAACTCAGACGTCGTCAACACTGCATGCAGCTGACACGATCGAGGCCCGAGCCCCGAGCCGGCCGAGGGGAGGGCGTGACTCATGCAACACTCTACCCTAGTACTCGCTGCTCGTACTCTCTTGACTTTCGAAACAGACTGTCATGTCACTGTACCAGCAGGCAGCAGCCAGTGCTCGAGCGCTCAGCTGTGAAAGTGTGATTCCGGCTCAAAGGTTGTTTTATTTGGGCAAAGGCCGAAAAAGGATGAATGAAGTGAACCCCCCCGCTAGCGCTGACTCTACGTTGAAGATCAAAGTATTTGAATTCTCATTCTCAATATGATTTTTCATATTCGCTTTCATGTTATTGGGCTCTGCATCCGTTTGAATTTGCGAATCAAAATAAATACAACAAACAAACAAACAAACCCCATGCCGTGGCCCTGGCAGCTGCCAGAAATAGCACGGCACTGATGCAGTCATGTTGGCAGACTGCCGCGCGCTAGCCGCTCCCGTTGAAACTCTTACAACAATAATTATGAATATACTCAATCTGCGGACAGCATGCTGTTTCGTTCTTTTTGAACTCATCAGCGCAGCACAGAGAAAATGAGGCCGAACCTGATAGCAATGGAAATAAAAATTTCCAATCAGGCCCGAACGTACCTTGCCAGAGTGCTCAAACTGCGAATTCAAATAAAAAACAACAACAACAAACTGACAAGTCAGTGAGCTCTGCATAACGCAAACAGCAAAGGCACTACCCCACGCATATATTAAAGGGGAAGTATACCCTAAAATCAAATTTTCACCAGTTGTAGTCTTCTGGGTGCTGAGTCGAATGGTCTTGGTCCGAGGAAGCTGCGACGCTCCCTTCCTACTTGAATCCCAATCGAACTCGCGCACTTCCACCGAAACTGGGTGACTGCGCCCTACTAGATGGGGATTTGTATGCAAAATGTCACTAAAAGCGCCATTTCGTTCTTATAAAAGCACGGATGACCGCGATTGGCCCATATGTTGTAGTCTTTTGGACGCTGAGTCGACTGGTTTTGGTCCGAAAAGGCTGCGATGCAGCGTTCCTCCTTTATTCCCAATCGAACATGGTTGAACAAGCGGTCACGTGCTCCTGGGTGCCCAAATCACCTGGTCACCGCGCCAGCAGGTGACAACTTTCACACCAAGGTTCAACTCGAGTTCAACTCGAGTGACAGGACTGCACCCAAAAAAGGTCAAACAGGCTAGTAAGTTGTACCCTGCAGGCACGGTGACCAGCTGACTGGTGTACGCAGGAGCACGTGACCGCTTGTTCAACCATGTTCGATTGGGAATAAAGGAGGAACGCTGCATCGCAGCCTTTTCGGACCAAAACCAGTCGACTCAGCGTCCAAAAGACTACAACATATGGGCCAATCGCGGTCATCCGTGCTTTTATAAGAACGAAATGGCGCTTTTAGTGACATTTTGCATACAAATCCCCATCTAGTAGGGCGCAGTCACCCAGTTTCGGTGGAAGTGCGCGAGTTCGATTGGGATTCAAGTAGGAAGGGAGCGTCGCAGCTTCCTCGGACCAAGACCATTCGACTCAGCACCCAGAAGACTACAACTGGTGAAAATTTGATTTTAGGGTATACTTCCCCTTTAAGGAGGCTCCGAACAGTTGCGCAGCGCAGTGTAAAAAGGGCACCTCGAGAATCTGTTTTTTGCCGCGATATTCAAAAAATATCGTGTTCCATGCGGAAACAAGCTGTTGTTCAGAAAGAAGTTTTTTGATTCTCTGTGCTCGCAGCGCAAGGTTGACGGGCCCGTCTTCCCCCCAGATGAAACAGATGAAACAAGATGAAACGAGATGAAACGAGATGAAACAAGATGAAACAAGATGAAACGCCAATGTACGGGCGCAGATGGGGCCGAGATGAAACGAAATGAAACAAAATGAAACAAGATGAAACAAGATGAAACAAGATGAAACCAAATGAAACTCGAAGTACGGGCGTAGATGGGCCGCGAATGAAACAAGATGAAACAAGATGAAACAAGATGAAACAATGACTATGTACGGGCGGAGATGGGCCGCGCGCAGTGCACCCGGCGTGACGTGCACGAGCGAAAAGAACTGAATTAATCCAATCATTGAAATAATTTTGTTTGCAGAGGCAATTCGCGCAAGGGAGGTATAGGAATTATTTGATGGCTTGCGAGTGACAGCACGAGCCGAATTTATTGCCCGTGGAAGTACCCACGATAGGAATACACTGTTGGGAACATGGTGGCGCCGCTGACGGTACCTAAGTGGAATTACTTTATTGGAAGTACCCACGACGGGGAAAATAGTAGTATTGTCGGTGAATGGTGATGGTGGTGGTGGCGATGGCTACTTTCCTCTGCTCAGAGAGAACCCCTGCATGTCCTTCGTCGTGATGCGAAAGAGCAGTGGATGCAGGTAAAGGCCGTGTCAGAGAATTTCGCCTAGTGCTGTGGCCAGGGTGAAAATAAATTAGGGCTCAAACGATCATTCAATAACTCCAAGCGATCAACCAATCTCTTTAGCGATGAATATCATTGTAACATAGAAAAATGTGGGCACAAGTTATGCAATCGAGTCCACCAACTAAACCAGATTTCGAATAGTCAGACGTGCACAATCTAGCACAAAACTGACAAGGAGTATGAGTACTGAGACATTGAGATCAATTATAATTGTTGGTTCATAATTATAGATTCTTTCCGGCTGTAGTCGTGCACCTCGAACACAAGACTATAAAGAAATTCCATGATGCCTTTGCTACATTAGCTGTGGCCACCAGTCAAACACTCTAAATATACCCAGGCTACCGCTCAGTGTTTGGTATTCTGTAAACATTTCAGGCAATTGTGTCGACACCTGTAGACATCTGACTGGTCTAAAGCCTAGTTCACATTCGACGTAACACTGACGGTACAGGACGTAAGGGCCTGTCGGGACGGCTGGGGTGAGCTGTAAAATCTTTTACGATTCGTACGACACGACATGCTGCAGTCGTTGCGATGTTATCCAGCCAACGGCGCGAGTCATAAGGCACAGTCCGTGACGGGGTGACTTTCGGACCTAATTTCTTGTTTTTCGGGACTTCTTTTCAATTATTTCTCCTTGAATGAAGCGAAATCAAATTCACAATACCAGTTTTTCATGGAGACAAAAAAGTAGCCCTGAAAGTTGTGCCATTCGAATAGTAGCCCTAGGAAATGATAAAACAGTTCATCTGTCATTCTCCTAAACTATCCCTAAATACCATAAGTGACATGAGATATTATCTTGCTAAAATTCAACTCAAGTCGTGTTAGCCATTCTGCGAGTTATCATGGGAAGCGCAGTGTTCGAAATCATAAAAATTTCCCAGTACGAATCGGGAGTGGATGGCGCACGACGCCGCCTCCTGTTCTCACTCAAAATGCAGCCGTTTTGTACGCTTGCGTCTCCGTCTATGCCCGTCTACGGTATGAAAAGTTGAACTGATCCAACACTTCCCGTCGCTTCCCGATCCGTACGGTAGTATGGTTGCGTTCCCGTTCCTGGTGTTCACATTGGACGCCGTCAGACCGTCCTGTCGCTTCCCATCGATCCTTACGCCGCGTCCCGTCGAATTTGAACTAGGCGTTATCAATATGAACTAGAGGAGTTCATGTTGTTGTTTCTAGAACGAAGAATCAGGCTTGTCGTCACCCTTTGGCTTGAAGCTCTTATCACCAACTTCCGCAACGAATCAATCGAAAAGATACCGTCTTGACTCCCGATCTCTTTCATAGCCACGCATCAATATTACTGCGCTTGAAAGTACACGATTGCACTCGTATCCACAATTGGATGGAGTGCAAGGGCTAGAATACTGCCACTGGTATGCATGCATAAAAAATCGTTTGCATTCGCTTTGAACACTAACGATTATCGATTGCGCTCTTAAAACGATCGGTTTGCGAGTTATCTGTATACTTGTTTCAGCCCTAAATGCATTGCCCTCGTAGAGGACAGGGATGAGCAGTGATATGAGCAGGGATGTGAGTACTGATGTGCCTTTCGTCCTCATATTTTACAGAGAAGACGTCTGCCCCCAATAATAAAATTAATGTAGTAATGATAATGTGTTGCCCTTTCATCTTCTCAGGAGCCCTATGCCTTTGCCTCTTCTCCCCTGGACTGAATGGACTGGACGCTCTGTCCAGTAGTGTCCAGTAAATGATTTGTAGTGTAAGTTAGGGTGCACTCTCTCTTGAGGATTTGCCCACCTTGATGATTGTGCTCTTCGTGTTATTAGAAAATGTCTCTACCTGCCAGGATGGTATAAGAGCACGAACTGAATCACCTGTTGGTGCAGAAGGCTTGGAGGACTGCTTTTGAAACAGTTGTTCAAATTTCCTGCACCTCTTCGTAGCCGTTGTCTGATTTCTGCATTCTGGGGAGACTGAAGTTAAGGTTAGTGAAGCTGCACAGTCCCCGTGGAAATGTTTATGCTGCAACTATTTACTGCTGACATGTATTTATGTATTTCAGGAATCTCCAGAGGGTGAAGGCTTGCTGCAAGCTCCGTCCCTTCAATGTCGTGATACATCCGTAGATCAGTCGTGTGCCTGTCCTGTGCTTTTATGAGCATGCTCCTTTGCACATGCCTTTGTCCTGTGCATGCGCGGGCGTGGGCGCGCGTGTGTGTGTGTGTGTGTGTGTGTGTGTGTGTGTGTGTGTGTGTGTGTACGCCAACGACACCGTCCGTGCACATGTGCATGGACGTGAGTTTGTGCGTTTGCCTTTGTTATATGCATACAGTATTATCAATTTATCATGCCTATACAAGCCTTGCCAGTGTCTCGATAGGAGAAGCAGATACATGATTACACCACTTGGGTTTTGACCTTCTTTGGCCGGGGCGAATGTCGAAGGAAAGACTCCCTCTGGGCCAAGGTGTTGGCGACAGTTGAGAGTTGTCCTCTATTTTGCAGCGGGGGACAGCATGGCATATTTGGTGCCGGAAAGAGTGCAGTTGCACTTTTCATGTTACTGTAAAATTTGCTAGGTCACTCCCTTGAAGCTGGAGACTGCTGATACTGCTGCTCAAACGGCTGCTGCTGTTACTCTCTGCTGCTACCATGGTCGTTGCTTTGTATCAATGGCGAAAATTCTCAGATGAGCTTTGGGTCCGGGCACTAGAACCCTGCTGCTGCCTCTGCAGCAGTTGTAGAAAGTTTTATAATACCAGTGTCGATGGTGAACTTCTGCTCTTTTTTTTATCCCAGACACTTTGTGCTCAAGAGACTGTTAGGTCTTTGTGGTGTTGTCGTTGCTGTTTGGTTATACTAGTTGGCGTCTGTTTGGAAATATATTGTGCTTTTCTGTGTGTTCATGTGAACGTAGAAGCCCTCACCGAAACCAACACTACGTTGCTGTGTTGTTTTCTTCCAAGGTCGGGCACAGTAAAGGAGACGACTCTGTGAGTATATTCGCAGATGAACTTTGGGTTAACAGAATGCAGGTGCTGCTGCTCTTGTGCCGGGCTGTTGGTGTCAATGATGGGGTGGATCATGCTTTCTCTTTATATACCTTTTGTATATTTGTGTGTAAGTAGGAGCACATACCAACACGTAATCTTTCTAAAGCCTAGTTCTCTTTCGACGCAACGCTGACGGTACGGGACGTAAGGGCCTGTGACGGCTGGGGTGAGCTGTAAAATCTTGTACAATTCGTACGACACGACATGCTCCAGTCTTTGCGATGTTCAACAGCGAATGGTGCGAGTCATAAGGCACAGTCCGTGACGGGGTGACCGTCCCGGCGTTTCCCGTTGATCCTTATGTCGCGTCCCGTTGCGCCCCGTCGAATGTGAACTGGGCTTAACAATGGCATGGAGACAGTTTCAATTGCAGTTTAATGTTACTGCACTGCACTGCAGGTATCAAGGCACTACCCAGAGGGAGGATGTTGGCCTTCTCCTGATGGGAAAATGTCTTCTTTCTCATGGCGTGGCCAGGACTGCACTGACCCTACCATCCACTCTACCTCTCCGGAAAGGGACTTGACAACCAGTCAAGATGGATGTGCAGAGATATACCAGCGGTAAGTCACATGCTTAGGATATCCACTTGATGAAGGAAGGACAGGTGCTCAACTACTACACCAAAATGTGAGCATAAGGAGATGGGCTGATGGGTCATGGATGGGTGACAGGTCTTTGCCCGGTTGCTGGAGTATAACAACCTGGGCCTTTGATTGGTTTAGAAGCGGTCCGCTCTATTCGGGGTGCCATCCTCAATTAGACGGGCAGTGAAGATCTTGCAGGATCAATCGCACATGTAGAATATGGACATGTGGATGCGGGCAGCAGATCTGTAATTTCCAGTATCAAAGTTCAGTTGTATTTGCTTTTCTTTATTTTCTATTTGTGATGTTGTTCACTGCAGCTTCTAGCATTAACTGCCGATTTGCACTGACGCAGCAAGACTCCCAACAGTCAAGTATGTTTCATTGCATGCACTAGGATTACAGTAGAATGCCGATTATCCGAATGTCAACTGTCCAAACGGTCAATTATCCGAAATTCCTGTTTGCACTGAATTCAATTCAATAAGTCGACTTATACCGGTAAAATATGGTAACAGCGGGACTGTAGGGTGTGGCATTTCCATGATACAGTGGAAAATTTCACGATTTTTGGTGCAAACATAGCTCGGACGCTGCTCGATTGGATATACAATGCAGGTTCTTGGAACCACGGACACGACTCTTCGATTCAAGGATCACAACACTTCGGGATCTGAACGTTTTAGGTCCGGGAGCTGTTCGCGGTTTTGTCGCTTGTCACGGTTGTGGACTCATCGTTGTAGCATAAATGAGGCTGGACTATTCCAAGCGGAAAACTAAAATATTTCCTTCTCAAAGCACAATCACCGGCCCGGAGGAGCACACCTTCTCTAACTAGATACCGGGTGCAGTACATGACACGTCCGTGTATTGACTAGTCTCTTGTACATTAATTTTACTAGTAGATCTACCACACGACTCGCGTAACGCTAGCACAGCAGTGCGGGTGTAGTCATGTACTACTACTACTACAGTACTGCCGGGCGCCGGAGAACGGACCGCCGATGAACGGCCAGGCTATGATTTCGCTATTTTTTAAGAACGGTCTAGGTAGAAACGTGATGTACAATATGAATATGATGTACACTCAGACGTATAACTCTGCATAAATGTACATGTAAGACTGTACCATCGAATATGAACGAAACTGCTGTGTTCGCCAAAAATAAGAACGGGCTAGGCTAGAACCCTGACCCCGTTCTTCGGCGCCCGGCAGTACTGTAGTGTAATGTTCCGTATGTTTGTTGACTATGGCATGCACGCAGAAGCCAGCGGATGTAAAAAGTCCAACTCGGAAACGGCTAAAAACGGGGTATCCTCAATTTTTGCCGAGCTGAAAATCACAGGGTACGTAGGGCTTGTAACAGTGAGTCGAATGCTCTTGGTACGAAGAAGCTGCGACAGATGGTTCTCAAATCGAACGCGTTTCGAATATTGGCCATTTTGCACACAAATAGATGGTGTGGCTACCTGGCTGCACACTGTGACCTTATCACCTGGATCAGGTAGACTGCGTGCTCGCTTTCGCTCATTTTCGATTGGGCGTATCTGACGAACCATGGACCGCAGCCTCCTCGGAAAAGAACATTCGACTCAGCGCCCCAAACTCTATGGGTCCTGAAATTAAAAAAATTCAGCAGACTTCCCCTATAATACGTAAGGCAGAACTTATTACAGTCCTTGATTAGAAGTTGACATATTCTTGTACGAATCCGGTGTCTTTTGTGAAAAGTGTATGCAAGCCTTTTAAAAAGCATCTCCCACCAGGCATTCGATCGAATTTTTCATGGCGTGGAGATTTGTTACGGCGTGAACCGATGCTTGGCGTGTAGAATTTGCTTTTTGATGTGTTCTTTGGAAGATGCAGTCTTAAAAATGGTGTGGATGTCTTTGTTTCTGTCCTTCTGCTGTCCTCGTAGAAAGAATAATATAGACGTGCAGAAAATGTAGGAGAGCGATGACATCAGAAGGACACTCTCAGGTTCAGGGTACCTGTACTGCCCCAATAAAGTGGGTCAGATCCCAAAACGAGGTTGGCCGAAGCAAAAAAAAAATAGAAGAGCCTGCCTTGAACTGAATATGAGGAGGAAGAAGAAGAAGACAAAGAAAGAGAAAGAGTAGGAATTTGTTTGTGTAAACTTTGTTTCCTCTGTCTAGGCTGCCACCGCATTATAGCAGCCAACAGTGTGTGTGTGTGTGTGTGCGTGCGTGCGTGCGTGCGTGCGTGTGCATATGTGTGTGTGTTTGCGTTTGTGTGCACACGCTTGTGTGTGTGTTTGCATGTGTGTATATTCTGCTAATATTGACTTAAATTTCCACATCTGGGCATATTGTGTTCTGTATGTGAATTTATCTTCATTAACTTGTGCGCTACGTTCCTTTCTTCACGTTACGGCACTTTAGTATTGTTTTACTTGAACATCATACTCTCGCCCAACTTTGTTTCACCAACAAAGGTTTATTCTCCAAAGTATTTCTAATTGATTGTGTATGAGTTTCATACTACTGTCAGGGGCGTCGGAATGTTTTTTAGTGTGGTACGGTCAGCCATCTGAAGTACAATTGACTCGTGGGGGAGTGTTGGCTGAGCCGAAAATTTTGGAATTTTAGATCCCAGATCAGTGTATTTTGTTGACTCACGGGTATCTGGGGCAAAAAGTGGTACGGTCAATACCGTACTGACCGTACCGTGTGCGACGCCCCTGACTGTTGGAATCCACCAGCTGTGTTTCCTTGAGGGGCGTATCCTTACCTGGGATGTGTTTCTCATTCCCGGCAGCAGAAAGAGCTCTACAATATGTATATAATTTAAGAATAGAATTTGATGTACAGGAGAGTGCCAATTATCCCCACCCCTCGGGACGCGGGCTGTCTCCAGGGGGTTCAGATGAGAAGAATGTTCGGATAAGAGAGCAGTCACACATCTATCTAAATCATGCATATTCCAGCATGTTTTCATCATTTTCGTTCTCTTCAGCAGTGAAACAGGAACTAGGTGCACTCATGCTCCTCTAAATTAATGACACTATTATTACACATTTTGACTAAAACCTGTTTTAATACATCTTGTGAATCGCTTCAATGGTGCCCCGAGCGACGAAAATCAACAACTTGAAACTCATCTTCTACCCCTCAATTAAATGCAAGCAATTATTTTGGATAATTAATCATTTGGATAGTTGACATTGGAGGATAATCGGCACATTGTGTGTGATGGGGGGGGGGGAGGGAGGAAGAGGAGGAGGCTGCGAGAGGCCGTGGTGGACGTGTACTTGTGCAGAGCCTGGAAATAGCCTCACTTTAGATGTATGCACATTCAAACGGTGGATGCTTCCCGCCATCCTTTTCCCCCTCTTTTTCCTTTTCCCGCCATTCTTTACCCCCTCTTTTTCAATTTCCCGCTCTTCTTTTCCCCCTCTTTTTCCCCCTTTTTCTCCCCTTTTCCCCCTTTTCTGCGAGAAGATTAGCCCCCTCCTTGCGCAACAGGATGTACTTGTTCTACTCGTTGCAGTGTTTCTGTAGCCGTGGCAGTTTCTACGCTGGAAAGAATAACTGGCCATGGCTAATGCAAAACAAAGGCAGTTCCTACGCTGCTTGATTTTTTTCTGAAAACTTTGCTGAAGCGGTACGCGGTGGCCACGAAGAACGAAATAATAATTACTGACGAAGAATGATGAGAAAAGCAGGCTGAAGTCAGTGAAGACATCGATGTCGAATGTAGTGATACTAGTACTGGTATTTAGTATGGACTACCTGTGGAGCGTGAAGTGGCTGCCCACTCGCTGGTAAGTGGACCCACTTGCAGCTCCAGTCGCACGAGTGCCGTTTGAAACTTTCTGTGGATCCTTGAGTATCCTGAGCTCAGTGGACGACGCATCTCAGAGCTGCTGAATATGGTCTACTGTTCCTGTAGAAATGAGATTCGTGTCAACCACTGTACTGTACTGATGCAGTGATGGTGTAAGGAAAACGCTCCCCAGAAGCTTGTGTTCTGAACCAGGGACGAACTTCTAAATCCTGCTCTTGTAAAAATGGGGATGTCACAACTAAGATGTGCACACTCAGGTGTGCATTGGGTAATTGTCTATGGCTGCATTATTTTGAATCCTTTCCTATGCGCAAGTACATGCGTTTGTGTGTGTGTACGCGCACGCGCGTGTGTGTGTGTGTGTGTTTGTGTACGTGCGCGCGCGTGTGTGTATACGCGTGCACGCATGCGTGTGTGTATACGCGTGCACGCATGTGTGTGTGTGCAAGCTGTTGAAAGGTGTAATCCGAGCACAAGTTGCTATGTCTAATGTAGTTTGTTCGCTATCCTCGCTTCAGCGTTGAGCAGGTGTATGAGTGTGTGTGTGCGCACGTGTGTGTGTGCACGCGTGTGTGTGTGTGCGCATGTGTGTGCATGCGTGCTCGTGCCCGCATGTGTGGGTTCGTACGCAATGTTGATCTGGGTTATGCACATGTTCCCACGAGTGCACTGGGTGCATGTGCATGCAAATGTACATGTATGTGTGGATGCACGTGCGTGTGTGCAAAGCTAGGTGTGTTTGGGGGGGGGGGGGGCTCACGGTGCTGGTTCGTATGGCTCTCCTCTCTGGTGTCCGCAAGGACAGTGTGGCAGTGGCTTTACAGTTCAGGAGGTGCATGTGAATGCGCAATTGTGAACCGCATTCGAGACACAAAAAGAATTGCCAAGAGGTCATGACAGTACACTATATCGTATGTGTGCACGCCAACGTGTGTAGATGCATATTGACCTTCATGCGTATGTTTTTCTGGAGTCTGCTGCTATGAACACAAGTGACAACCAGCAAATGCATGCCCAGTGCAGTGGCTGGTTTTCATGCTTCTATTTACACTAAGTCCTACTATGTACTAGTAGCGTTACAATGATGCGTGCACGAGAGTGGGTGGGTGTTTATGTGCGTGTGCACGCACGCGTGTGAGTGTTTAGTGTGCCTGATTTTGAATGCCTGCTTTCACATTATCCATGTGCCAGTTTCATGGTCGAGGATGTTATAAAACCTCGCTGCCTTACATGTACATGTACACTACTCGTATATCAATGTGCTAGGGCTGAAGGCTACATGACATACATGTACATGTAATAATTATACATGTACCTTTGTACCTTTCCAAGCACAGACTATCTGGTATGTCCAAAGGAGGTTGCAGCATGAAAATAACTTCTTCTAAAATATATTACCATACCACCATGTCATTGGTAGTGTAATATTTAGTCAAGAAGGCAAGAATGGTCAGATTTTCTAAAAATGCTATTTTCGGATTTGGCCTTGAAATACCATATTTTGACACCTATATTGTTTCGTAGGGGCCTAAAGTGCCTGGTGACACCATCAAAACTGTCTATAATCGGTTTCCTTGGGGCTCAAGGATCACAGAAAGCCACAAAAATCAATATGTCCATGGACAAAATGTTGCAGGCTGAACCATTTCACAATTCAGCTCCCGATGGAAATTTCGGTACCCGTAATTTCGAGAAAGTGGCTCACCAAGGGCAAAACCAAGACACAGTCTATCTTGTGTACCCAAGATACCTCCAAATGTGGTTCTTAAACACATGATGAAGAAAATACTTAGTATCCTCCTTCCAGGAGGCTTCTTTGGGTCAAAAACCAAATTTTTTAACCATTTTTTTGCCGAAAATAAAGAAATTGTACACTCACTAAATACACCAGAATACCTCTTATATGCCTGGTGACCCTACCTAAAAACTATACCAAATTGAAGAGGAGACATCACTCCACCATTCTATGCATAAAAAACAGGGTGTCCATGGACCTTTTATTTTTACTTCTTTAGGTGGGAGCCTCCTTAATACAAGTAGTCACTGAGCTGCTATTCCTACCCTTTTTGTGAGCCACACTGTATGCTGATGATACAACTGTTCACAGCTCCACAAGAAACGACACCACGTACAAGCTTGTGAGGGTGTATTTCCCCGAGACAACCCGGAAAGCATTCCGGGCCACAAAGACACAATTTGTAAATCCGTGGAAGTATCCGTGACGGTGGCACATTATTACATGTATTATTATTATCAGATTTTTGATAGGGCAATCCCCACATTCAGGACTTTCATTTCTAGGGTACCCTGTAAGAAGGCCTTAGGCCTGTATAATCTTGGTGGCACTAACAGCGGAGCTTGGCCTCACTAAACACAACACGTTTTTACTTGAACAATGTCAATGTAACGACAGTCATTAATCTGTCCTAAGTGAATAATTGTTTTTCTGTTTGTATTAGCACTTTGTCCTATTCGATCGGCAAGATGATTGCTCACACACGTATCATGGTAGGAAGAACAAAGGCCTGACAAACGAACTCAGACTTGGCCATGAGGAGGTGAGTGCAACCAAGGCAAGCACGAGCTGAAAGTCTCAGCTGTGAAGAACGTAACTCGTTGACGGATGTCAACATGTCGACATGTATGCCGAAGACCGTCGGATATTGGCAAGACCATAGACAATACGAACAAACCACAATTCAAGGACGCTCAGAGAATCACACACTGAGTTATGTGGTATGTTGGCATGTTGCTATGCGTCCTTGAATTGTCCTACGTTACTTCTATAAGTAACTTAGTTAGAATCTTCCGAGCTGGAAGGCTGTTCCTGAAGAGTGCGCATCCAAGACCGTCACGGCCAGAATTGATTGGCAGTTAGAACGTCAGTACCGTTGATCAGTGATGTGTAATGTCCTGCAATGTGGGGACCGGCGGATTCTACTCAAAAAGGTGGCAGATTCTGCTCGAAAACTGTGAAATTGGCAGAACCATACAAACCTTATGGCGGGCAATTCCTCGAATTATGCTCCATTTTTTTTATCCACATACCTGTACCAAACATGCATGAAACTTACCAGAAAAAGTACCAAATTATGCCAATTTTTCTGCCCGCATAATCCGCCGGACCCTAGTGCAATGTCCTCTCATCCACTACAGCTGCTGAGAGCAGTGGGTGCATCCACAGTATCAGCCACCTTATAAAAAATTGGTTCGAGGCGTCCTCTTCAATATACAAGACCCACGGTCGGACGAGCTGCCCAGGCCTCACCACCACTGCCGTTAACGGTTTCTGTGCTGCCTTCTCAATACATACGTATGTACACTGTATAATTATGTCTGAAGGTTTGTGGTTTTTCAATAAAAAATAAAGATATATAAATACAGTGTGTAGATCAAATAATGCCTCTGGCAGAATTTCACTTCACATGACCGTCGAAACCTGCACACACCTAAAAGCGGGGTTGTAGGGACCCATTCCTAAAATTAAATTTAACCCTCATGTCAATCACTTTGCTCTCTTTGTCAGCATAACAAACGTATTGAACCATGAAATGTTTACTTGTATTTTTGGCTATGCTATTGCAGCGTATCAAGGATTGAGGTTGTGCAGGCAATGTCACACTCTTGGGGAAGCGGAGGGGGGGGGGGGGATCTTGGCGTTGTTGATACGATTGTGTTTGCACTTATCATTGTGTAGGAAGTGAGTTAGAATCCTGCTTGCAATGCGGTGCATAGTTACACTGCAACTATCAGATCAGACAAGGTCATGTTGATGTACTCGAATATGTGCGTTGCTTCTAGGTCAGCGTCTCAGTGTTCATCGCCTGCGTCTGGCACAGCATTGACCCTCGCATCTCCTAGAGGATCTGGAGCATATCTCGGCTCGTCCTCCTCGTCGCTGTAGTGTTGTAGTTGTTGTTGTTGTTGTTGTTGTTGTTGTTGTTGTTGTTGTTGTTGTTGTTGTTGCCGGTGCACAACACGACGGCGCTGTTGTCTCGGCAACAGCACCGGCCGAGTCCCAGCGTAACGGGATGTCAGCTGATCTTGGTCCATTCTAGCTGAATCTGCATCACCCTGAACAGTTCCAAATGCGTCCAGTTTTACGCCAAGCTCGGTGATGAACGGATCATCATCTTCCTGATCCAGAGTGCCATCACAATCGGTATTATCCGACTGGAGACTATCCGTCCTGGAAGTCATGCTGTATGCACTGGTTACTGCTGATAACGCTTCACTGTTCCTTGCCGGACCTTCGGCGGAGTGAGCCTGACATGAATGTGTTGAGTCTGTACAGTTTGCTGTGTGTTCGTCTGACCAGTCATACTCAGATTTATTGTGCAGAGCCGAAGGTGTTGTGGAGCACGTGTGATGCTGCTCTCGCGTCCCCGCAGCTGGTGTGTACAGGCATCGTCTTGGACGGGGTATTGGTGGACGTGCCTGTATTGTGACTTCACTACTAGATGAGTCAGAGCTCACGTTCACGCATGAATTCCACAAGTCCTGCGCACCTGTTGGCTCATTCTGACCTTCCACTCTCAAAGCATGTGCACAGTGTGTTCTTGTTGGTGGCAGGGGTGGTGGCGGTAGAGGCAGATGACGGGATGGTATTTGCCAATTGCCAGTTATCTTGATGGTGGGAGATCGGGAACGCATGTGGTGTGCTATGGCGGACACCGATTGTTGAGATCTCTGGCGGCTTGTCGGTAATGGTGGAGCAATTGAAAGATCCCTTCGCTCTTTGTGTGCACACGGCTGTACTGATGGCTGTGGTGATGGCTGTGGTGATGGTGCTAGTGCTGGAGATGAAGCAGGTGTCGGTAGTGCTGGTTGCACATGTGCTGGTACTGGCACTGGGGGAACAGGAGGTCCTGACTTTGTTGCTGTTTTCCTGGCAACACCAGTAAGGGCTGGGTAGGTGCAGGCAGGATGATAAATTCCACTGTATACTGTCTGTTCGGTGAGCTGGTTATCAATGTCCCGCTGTGCTAGATGTCCAATTTTATTATTTGCAGTCATACATGAAGTATTTCCATTGCTGCCACCTTGGAAATGTGGTCTACTGAGATCAAGGCTACAATCTTTGGTCTGAGGCTTGGACTGACGGAAGCGGAACTCCTCTTTGGCGATGAAGCGCTCTCGCACACGATTGCGTACCAGGAAGACGATGACGATCGTCGCAAGAGCGCTCAGAGAAATCATGATTGGCGTGACATGGAAGTACTTTCGCGGCATCGACAGAATGGGAAACTGGAGAGAGAAAGAGAAAGAAGACACCAGATGCAGACGCTTCATCAACAGTAAACAGAAGAGCAAAAGGGGATATCCCATTGCCTAGACGTGCTTGGCCGGATCCAAAATCCAGAAAGCGGATAATGGTATACAGTAGAGCCTATCTGATCCCAGCGCCTCAGTCTTAATATCATCGATTTACGAGGGACCTTGCTTTACTATTTGGGATACTGCAACTGTTAGCTGTTGTCGCGAGTTTCTATGGGAACCGAGACGAAAATGTACTTCATATCATTGTTACAGCTTAGTGTTTACGGCACAGCCTGTTGTTCAATAATATAATTATTATACCGTGCTAGGGAAGAGCAATTATCTCAAAATTCTATATGACTACGATAATCAGATGATAAAGAACATCTGCTATCCACCATTCTTTGCAACAACAATAAAAAACAGATCAAAAATCGTTCATTCTTGTTGGCATAGTAACTTACTGAAATCAATGCCACTGGTCCATCTCCAGTGCAGTGACAGTGGTGTGTGCCGTTGATAGTCATTTCCAGGCTACATGTCCTTGTCGTCCAGTAGCCCTTGCCTGAAACACACACACGCACATACACACACACACACACACACACACACACATATACACACACACACACATACACACAAATATACGCACACAGATGCATGCAGTCAAGCAAATATTACATTCATCAACACAAACGCACACAAAACAAACAAAACACACGAAAAACACACACACACACACAAACATATGCTGTCGCAAAAGTAATGGGCAGATCAAGAATGCTGCAGATGAAACACATAATGAATATACCATACTTGATTAGAAGCCCCTTTCGAATAAAAGTCCCTCTCGAATAATAGCCCCCTACAAGGACTGTTTGAAAAAATACAAGCCCCTCTCGAATGGAAGCCCGGACTACTATTCGCAAAGCATAGGGTGGCCAGGTAGTGCCATGTATGAAGGTCAAGTCTGCAAAAAACATCTCATGCATGTTCCTATTGGTACATGTCCTGGTCGATGTAGTGTTTGCAAACTAACTCGGGGCCGAGTTGCTGTGAACATGAAAGTTTTACAGATTCAATTGGAATACTGGTATGGAATGAAACAATAAAAGCCCCTCTCGAATAGAAGCCCCTCTTGAATAGAAGCCTCCTCGAAATTGGTATTGAAAAAATAGTAGCCCCCGGCTTCTAATCGAGTGAGTACGGTAATGACACTGGGAACTTGTTCTGGGAATATGTGTTACTGCAACCATAGACTAGTGTGAGACCGGAAAGGGAGCTCAGCTTTTCACCCAAAGAGCATAGACAACATAACCACTTGAGTTTGCAGACATCATCAGATTGTCACTGTGCCTGAAGGTGTTTAGCTTTGTACCAGGCTCGTCAGCAGTGCAAGCATGTCATAACGTGCTGGCCATGGATTACAGTTTTGAATCTCTTACCTTCCTCGCCAACTGCCATCCATTGAGCACAACGCAACTTTCCATCCTCTCCGCCTATCTGAGAACATTAAAATAAGAACATCAAACAGCAACAGCATCAGCAGCAACAGCATCAGCAGCAACAGCATCAGTAACAGCAGCGGCAACAAAAGCAACAGCAGAAACATCAGTGTACTCCGTGTTAACACAATGTCATGGCTGTGTGCAATGTTCAAGGGTCGCGATAGTTTAGAGTGACCGCTCCTGTTCAAAGACCATGACATGTGTGCCGGTCGTAGGGTTGCCAAACTCGAATCTATTGCAGATCAACCCAGGCAGTGTCATGCTGAAAGCACCATCCAACTGCATTATTGACAGGTTGCCATACTTCAGCCATGCATTGCTTGGACTGTGCACAGGCTGCCACTCTCATATCAGGCTTAGCTGATCTTGGTTGCTGCAATGAAAGCGGCCTTTCATCTGCAATTCACAGTATTTCTTTCCCCGGGCTCTACAATACAGCGCTATGCAATCGCAAACCTCACCCTGACAAGATGAGCAATCAGTCTTGATCTGTTGCTGTCAGCAGCCTGTTCTTGTGGCACATCTGCTGCTGGCGTATCCGCAGTGGGTGCGTATCTCTTTGACCTTGGTCTTGCTGAGAAGAACCCAGGCCTGTGGACTTGATCATGATCACTTCGCTCCGGAATCATCTTGGCATGTAATACATGACTTAATACTAGCGTGTTAGGCTGGTGCTCAGCGGATGAAGCCGGAAAGAGGTGACTGGACAGCTTGATAAACAGCAAGCGGTTTCCTTGGCATTCGTTTTGGGGACTTTCCCCCGCCTGCTCAGCAGCGTGGGTGTTCTGGGCTTGAAAGTGACGGACCTGCGCCTCTTGGGATGAAGCCTTCACCAGCGTCTTAGGACCCATTGTGAACAGCAAGTTGCTATCGTTTTGCATTTGGTCACTGACGATATTAGCAGCGACGGTGGTGTGCTCAGCATGTGGCTCTGGATGAGCTATGTGCTTCATCACTTGGTCTGCTGATGATGGAGCTGTATGGCCAGCACCGTATGGGTGAATGCCGCTGCTTTTGTTCTCTGGCGAAAGCGTTTGCGATGCGGAGCTCTTGGCCTGGAGAGAAGACTGCTTCCGGATCGTTTGCTCTTTCCTTGCTGTTGGACTAGATGGTGTTGCGTGCAACATGCTTGGCTGCTGTGTGGATGTTCCTGTGTTTGTTCGATGAGGTGTTGATTTCAGGTGGGACTTAGCGAAGCTGCTTAAATCCGTTGACGTTGGCATGACAACTGGCAGCAACATGGCGATACCTTCAGCGCCGGAGCTGTAGATCTTGCCGTGCTCCCGTGCGTCAGCGGTGTTCACCGATGTGGGGTCTTCCGTAGCAGCCGTGGCAGACTCTGGTGTGCTTTCGCCATGGCTATCTGGATATGGGGGCAGTCGTCCCTGACACACTATATCTACGACTATGTTGGGAGACGATAGTTCAATGGCTTGACCGGCTTGCTTCGGCATGACAGTCTTGACAGCAATTGTGTCAATGAGATTCATGGTCCTGAAGAAAAACAGACAAACCAGGGCTGACGAGAATTGCAAACCAATGCTAGAGCTTGTAGCACCTAAATCAGACAAACGCTACATGTAACTCACCTGGTGTTTATGTACGCAATCTCTTACGTGCATATTGGCAGATTCCTGTGGATGCATTCTGAGACTTCTCATTATCTTGATGCTGAATAAAGAAAAGTAGACTATCATATCCGTTCACGAGGGAACTCGCTATGGCCACTAACACCCAGATAATGCATTGCTATACGAGCTGTATCCAACATTGGATTTATTTGTGGAAGCTGCCATGCATTTTACCCCGTCTCTAAACGAGAGAGCTTGGAAGCTCAGGGCCCTACACTATGCTTTTTTGCCTTGATGACTTAGAAAAAAAAGTATAGGAATGTTATAAATTCTTATAAATTTCTACTTTTTGTTTTTAGACATAACCTGGGATTCGAACCCGCACTATCGCCCTGCATGCATCCCCCGATACACTTTGCATACATACTAATTCTTCCAAGTTACTTCACGTTATGATCTTGTATTTGAAAGCCCTATTTGAATATGCATTGTGGCCAGCCATCTTTGATTGTACGGTACGGTACAGGACAGGTACGGGACAGGTACGGTCGAGGGTAATACGACACCATCCACCACCTTGATGACGGCAAAAAAATGAATAGGGATGTTATAAATTTTTCAATTCTCCTATTTTTTCAGGCATTACCTGGGATTCGAACCCGCACTATCGCCCTTCAAGCATTCCCCCATACACTTCTCATTCATACTCATTCTTCCAAGTTGCTTCACGTTATGATCTTGCGTTTGAAAGCCCTATTTGAATAGTGCGGCGAGCTGTATGTGGCCAGCTGTGTTTGATGGTACGGTACGGTACGGGACAGGTAGGGGATAGCGCCAGGCGTGACCTTGACCTTTGACGCCCATCGCCGGAGGCGATGATAGCAATGCTACGGCAGATGCCATAGCAACTTGTGCTGGGATTGCACCATTCAACAGCTTGCAAGGCTGAAGAATTGACCGTCACTATTCAGCCTGGTCTACACCATACAGCTATTTGAAGTGACTTTTTCTGGCCAGTGAATCATGGAAGTTTCCGGAGGAGGAAGGAGGAAACTGTAGTTATCACCAACCCTCACCGCGCCCAGCTCACGCCGCTACGGCGTGCGACCTGAGCTGGGCGCCCTGCCCAGTATGGGACTGTCCTCAAGCCAGTCACGTATTTGGCAGCCCAGTGAGCTGTCTACCGGATCGCAGCGTTTAGAAGCGCCAAATGCGGCAGGGCCAGTCTCAGGCTGGTCGCGTAGGCGGCAGGCCGGCGGGCTACCGGCAAGGCTGCATTCGCATTTGGATCACCGAAGTGATACAGGTGCTTCGATGGCACTCCGTGGCGCATCAAGGAGGCATCTGGGGCCCAGGCAGCCCGCCCGTAAGCGCACCACCATATCAGGTATGCGCAGGTGGAGCAGCAGAGCAAGATGTGTGCCGGACACTCACCATCATCCGGTCGACTGCACGGCTGTGCGACTTTACACAGCCGTCACTCATTATTATTATTATTATTATTATTTATTAAATTTTTAATAGGGCATTCCCACAGGCCTAAGGCCTTCTTACGGGGTACCCTATATGTTTATTACTTGCTATTGCTTGCAGAAGGCCAGAATTTTTTTTCTTTTTTCGCTCTTTCCCTTCTTCCAGGCACGGCTTCATGTTAGAGCAGTAAATTGCAGTTAGGGACTCAGCTGAGTCAAGCTGGACTCAGCGTGTCAAGTTTGGCATAATACAATAAGCGCGCTATCCCCAAACAGTTGTGTGGTTATTGTGTGAGTGTATATGCAGGAGTCCGCGGTCACGTGAGGGGGGAGTGATTACCTATTTTTGGTCTTTTCATTTTTTTTCCCACACACACATCACACCACATACTCCGGCATGCACTGGCTGTTGGTAACCACCCAGGAGAATGAAAGAAAAGTCAGGAAGAGTCTTAGAAAGAGAAGAAAGACGTGTGTGACCATAATCGTCGGGAATCGAACCCGCAACCTATCGATTGGAAATCGCTGCACATACCACTGCACCATATGGGACACACGTGACACAAACATACAAACATACAACACACACACAAACTGTGTGGACCCTGGCTAGCGCCAGACGTTACTGAAGTAACGTCTTCTGCATAGCTACGGGAATAAAATTTAATACTCTTTTCTGCACACAGAGTACTGCAGCACACATTGTTAGTTCTTCTTCAAAAAGTGTTCATTCTTTCATTGAACTGAGCGTTTTTCTGGGGCCCTGCTTCACTACTCAACGCTTCATTTTTTTTAGTGTTATTTTGAATTCGGATAGCTCAACAGTACAGAAGTACAACTACAAAGAGTACCGAATTGAAGGCCCCGAGAACGGGAAACCAAAAAAAAAACAAAAACAAAAACAGCAACATCAATTTACTGATTATGCACATTGCTTGAAAGCAAATCACAACAATGACTAAGAGTTAAGCATGTCACAGTGTGTAGGGGCTCACCTTGTGGCTATGAGACCTGATTCAGCACTGCTCCGTGCCAGTTTGCCTCCCCGGGCCTGGACAAGACTGTTCAGGATTTGAACAACTTGGTCCGAATGCTGCACAGAAACCAGCAGCAAAGGTCGCACGGAGAAAATGAAATCTGGCTCCTTGTACACTGATGGTGATCGTGATGGTGGGGGTTATTTCTTCCCAATAACAAGGTAGGAAAGAGATATGGTATAAGAGAGGGAAGAGGTGTACTGTTAAGAGAGAAATTTTCGCTAGAGACTATATTTCGCTATTTTCGCGACCATCACACAGTCGCGAATATAAATCGTCGCACACTGCTCTGTACATTGACTGTAGACAGTACACGATCCAAATGAAGAGATAAAATTGCAAAAGTTTCTCGTCATGAACGAGCACAATTCTTGAAAACGCGAAATTTGCGCGCCGCAAAATGTATCGCTTTACAGTATGTGAAATGTGTTTGCATGCACATGAACTGATTATCCAGTTTCTCACAGACACGCTCTGAAATCCTGAATCACACTTACTTACTAATCACGCATACCATACTTCACAGCTTTTAAGTTAAAGAAAGAGAAGACGACAATGAGACTTGGAATGATGATCATGTAGTTCATATCAGCTCTCTTTCTTTTACCCTTCCTCCAACTTATTCCTGTCGCCCCTATTAATTTCACAAGCAAGTGCGTGGAAGCTAGATGCATTAATGTGAAAGCAGTGGTGGCCGAGTGGTTAAGGCGATTGACTAGAAATCAATTGGGCTCTGCCCGCACAGGTTCGAATCCTGTTCACTGCGATGGATTTCTTTTTTTCTTCTTTTTGCAGTAGGCGATATTTTGTTCCAGGGAGCAGCAGCATATGAGTACAACCGAGAGTACAATTATACAACCGAGAGTACCAAAACCTAGTACCTATTCTTGGTAGGACCAACAACCACTAACAAAAATTTATCCAAAAGTGTGCAGCTGTGATTTCTTTCCTATGTGCTATAATTATGCGAGACCTTTTTTACGTCATAGTAGTAGTAGAAGTAGAATTTATTATTTTGATAGGGAAGGCCCTACAGACGTTGCCGTCTTGTTACAGGGAACCCTAAGTGCTCTTTACAGAGTGAAACAAAAACGGATAGATGCTCAACCTGACGACACGAGACAGGCAGAGAATTCCACCTATCAGCGTCATACACCTGCAGCTCACTCATTGCGGCAAACAAAGCACCAAAGTTCGACCAACCAAAAGATTACCGCTGTAGATTCTGTTTCAGAATTTCGGGCACAATTTCGCGCTCATTATAAACAGCATATATTTGCCTGCACACGTCGCTTCACTAGTATATCAATAATCATTTTCACTGTTAGGAGATCCCCCCGATAGGCTATGCCTGTGGGAAATCCTTTAAATAATAAATATATGAAATGCTCCCTTTTGTTTGAAACCATCTTGTGCAAGACTGGAGTATAATTATGTGCACCAGAAGCATGAAGGTTGAGTAGGCACTGAATGCATTGGCATGTTTGCACAGCGGGGAATAATCCACAGGTCGTCATGACAATGTACAGCATATCACACAGGAAAGTACGAGTGCATGCCACAAAGGACCTTTCAATGGTTTGGTTTGGTTTTTATTATTCCAGTTCATTGCCTCAACAGCTCAATTTTTTTAAAGAGGGACGAACGAAAAGAGAAAGAAAAGCAGAACAGCAGGGAATGGAAGCATCGAAATTATGGCACTGGGCTTGCTAGTGCAGTACGTTGTGTGAAATGGAGGGATATTATGCGCCGTTCTCTCCAGATACTGAGTACAGTATAGCCATAGCCATCCTCACCCTGGCAACCACTGCAATGTGACCGCCAGCGAGTTCTACCCAATGCAAAGTGGCGTGCACAGCCCTGTTGCCGTCATACATAGCCTATGATAGGAAGGGCGTGGATTGTGTGTGTGCAGGGGGGTCAAGTGGTTTTGTTTTCTTCATTCAAATCACTTTCTTTTCGTTTGATAATTATTCTCTGTTCTTTTACTCGAGCCGGCACACGCATGCTATGTGTCGTGAATATGCATCACGAATCCGCGTTACGCTCATTATTATGTCTTTATTTGTTTATGTGTTACATCATGTTGACGTCATGCTGATGTCTTGCTGCACGCATCGCGTGCACCGTTTTGCAGCTCTCAGCCCGGAGCATGCGCAGCGAGCCTGTGGCTCCTTTTTGCTGCCTTTTCCCTTTTGCATGCTTCACTTGTCTCTAGCTCTACTTGTCTCAACTAACTAGAACTTGTCTCACATAAGGTTTTCTGGTGACACTCCTTTTCAAGTCACCTAATCCTTTCAAGTAACAAGTGCAATGTCGTTCCGTGAACCGGAACCCCTCCATATTTGAGTTACCAAGACGTATTTGTGCGTGGCTATCCAAGCTCTCCCACTCAACAGTTCAAAGTTGCGCACAAACTTGGTGCCGAAACCCGGGAATGCCACCAAAAAAGGCTTCGACTGCCGATGCTCCTAATCCGGCATCAACTAAGCGGTATCGCGGCAAGATACTTCGGCTGAAGAAGAGCATCCAGCAATGCCTCGATGACGGCAACGCATTATTGTCTGGAGCTCCCTCATCTGCAACAGCAGAAAAGCTAAGTGAAACATGTGCATCTTTAGAGTCCGATGTCGTAGCATTTGATGAGGTCTGTGAGCTTTTGTCAAATTGTGTTGATTCCTCCGCCCTGGAGAGCTCTGACGAAGCTGCTTGTAAACAGGAAGCAGACGATAATCTGGACTTCCAGTTTGAAACTATGAGCGTGATCAAAAAGCTCAAATTCCGAATTTCTCACCTGAAATCAGCAGCAGATTGTCAGACCTCTCCAGAGTCGAGTACTAACAAATCGGACGACGACTCAGTTGTCAAGCTAATGCAAAGCCAGATGAAAGAGCTACTCACCATTCATCGTCAAACACAAGAACAAACTCAATCTCTGCTACAACAGCATAGTGAATCACTCACCACCCAAGCTCTCCCACTCAACAGTTCAAAGTTGCGCACAAACTTGAACTGTGGCCGCTTGAGACCAGCAGTACCTCGGAATCCCCAGGTACCCCATCTCAGGAGACCAGCTGTTCCTCAGAATCCTCAGCTACCCCAGCTCAGAAGACTAGCACTTCCGTTGCAGTCGTACGAAGACCGACACGAGCCGCTGCCAGCAAAGTTTCAGTCCAACTTGCAGGATTTGATCGCCGACGGCCGTGTTTAACTCTCTCTCTCTTGCGCGCGCGCCCGCTCGCTCGCTCTCATTACTCTCATTGCTCTCGCATTCTTTATGCTCTTCAGTAATATCTTTCCACATGTTTTGTGTGAAATTTCTCCTTGTTATTAATTATGGTTAATTCTGTTCTCCGGCCAATGCCCGGGGAGTGTCGTGAATATGCATCACGAATCCGCGTTACGCTCATTATTATGTCTTTATTTGTTTATGTGTTACATCATGTTGACGTCATGCTGATGTCTTGCTGCACGCATCGCGTGCACCGTTTTGCAGCTCTCAGCCCGGAGCATGCGCAGCGAGCCTGTGGCTCCTTTTTTGCTGCCTTTTCCCTTTTGCATGCTTCACTTGTCTCTAGCTCTACTTGTCTCAACTAACTAGAACTTGTCTCAAATAAGGTTTTCTGGTGACACTTCTTTTCAAGTCACCTAATCCTTTCAAGTAACAAGTGCATTGTCGTTCCGTGAACCGGAACCCCTCCATATTTGAGTTACCAAGACGTATTTGTGCGTGGCTATCCAAGCTCTCCCACTCAACAGTTCAAAGTTGCGCACACTATGTAGTTTTTATGATCCTTGTCTCTCGTTCCCGCTTCTTATATGCTCTTCTCTCCCACTTGTTTCGCTTCCATCGATTTGCAAATAAGGTGAGAGCAGCCAATTGCATCATCATGCAGTGCAGTGGTGGCCGAGTGGTTAAGGCGATTGACTAGAAATCAATTGGGCTCTGCCCGCACAGGTTCGAATCCTGTTCACTGCGATTGGTTCACGTTGTTTTTTGGATAACTCTTTCTACCCAAAATGTAACTGCAGTGCTTGTACAGACCTGTTGCACTTTGTACAGGACTGCCATTGCCACAGTGTATCTTTTTTTCTTTTTTTTTTTCTTTTTTTTTGTTTAGCATTCAACGATGGCTGCGCTACAAATGTGAAGTAGGCAAAATCCGACACAAGACACAAAGCCAGTGCACTGGACCAGTTCTGAATACGTCACTGCATTTACACATGTGTATGATCAGCAGCATTGGCAACACTTCCAGGACATCAAGTGCCATACACGTTCAGGGTGCAACATAATGTCCTAGAGTTGAATTTCATACTGACTCACCTCTGGCTGCAGATATGCCGCTGTCTCCATGGTGATCTCAAGGATACTGAGCACTATGGGAACGTCTGGAGCAGTCAGCTCTTTCTGCCCGTAGATCAAGTCTTCCAGATTGGAAAGAGTGTCATAGAGAGCTGACGCTGTGGCATTGACCTGTAACAATGATGTCGTGGTCTGTGATGCAAACACACACAATATTGTGTAACATGGAACAGTGTGGGCACAAGTTATGCGATCGAGTCCAACAACTAAACCAGATTTTGAACAGGCAGACGTGCGCACTCTAGCACAAGACTGACAAGGAATACTGAGACATTCCACGGCATGAATGAATGATGCATAACTTGTGCCCACATTTTGCCATGTTACAATTTTTCCTTGGCTCACCATCTGAGTTCTTAATAACACTGATGTAACATTCACGTAGACAGACATGCACTTAAATGCATGTACATATACACCCACACCCACAGGAACACATACACACAACACATACACAGGCACCCTGTAAGAAGACCTTAGGGTCTGTTGGGAATGCCCAAGTAAAATAATAAAATACAATACAAATACATGTACAACACACATATACGCACATAATTGGTGTACGTGCTCTTCATTTTATTTTTTCTCTTCTTCCGTGGTTGGTCTCACCCTCTCCTCAATTCCATTGGCTGTCTTGACATGCCACGAGGTGCAGAAATAAATGAATAAATAAGCAACGTCTGAATGCTCCTATACTTCCCGTACCCGGGGCATTCAGAGTAGGGGTGTAACTGTAAGGCAGGATAGACGTGAGCTCCCATAGCTCAGTCGGTTAGAGCGTCGTGCTAATAACGCGAATGTCGCAGGTTCGAGCCCTGCTGGGAGCACGCTCTTTTTTTTTCTTTCTTGACAGACTCTGTGATGCCGTACTGTAATGCAGACGCGTGCTCGACCCGGTTGGAAATGTACGCAACAGTGCCCACCCTCTTGACCAGGGATCGCACAAAGTCACAAACTCTGAGTTTTGATGGGTCTGTACGACTCCCTGCACTTGACCTTTGGTGGTGTACGAGAAGCACGAACAGTTGGTTTATTTTAATTCGCACAATAAATGGGAACTAGGCCCCAATGATATAAAGGCGAATGGATGAGCCGCATTTAGAAAAGAGAGGACAGGACATAGAAAATTATGAAAGAAGAAGTATCTGACAGAGGAGTCAACTATAGGGTGTGTACTTTTTCATGTAGTACGGAGGGGAGAATGCAGCAAATCGGACTCGCCCATTCGCCACTTCCCACCTGGACCTACTGGAAGGGTTGCGAAGATAGGGGCGCGCTTGCAGGATCCTACGGTACATAATAGAGATGCCTGGTTTGAAATGGAAATGTTAGCATGTCTCAGGCCTCAGCCTTGCTTGGTGCTCACAGGATTAAGCCTGGCTCTCATGCACTACTTAAAACTTACAAAACATCGTGACTACCGACCACCCCTTGGTGCCAGCGAAAGCTGTCTTTAGTAGCAGGTGGTATTCAGTTAGAGGTTTGCACTGCGTGACCATAATGCATCCCATAATGCATCCCATTAAACCAGCGCTTTGGCCGAGTGGTTGTGCGCTTGCCTGCGAATCACAAGGTCCCAAGTTCGAGACCCTCACTGGGAGCAGGGAGGGTGTACTGTGCTAACAAAATGCGGTGATGCATGCGTGAACCACTATACATGCAAGGAACTGTGCCGACACCCACGGTCAACTGGGTACTCACTACTCGGAGTGAGGGTAGCATGGATGCAGCTAACGAGGTTAGCCCCCTTGTCAGGCATTGGTTGTGAGAGTTACCACCTCACCCACGCCGTTAGGCACTGCATCTGCCACCCTGGTATTACAGGCATGGTGGTGGCCTGGCACGAACGAAACTTCCTAAGCTGGTTGTGTTTCTCAACGCAATTGCATAGCCAGTTGCAACGCGGACGTGCAAACTTTACTCTATTTTTTACTTCGTGGTCGCTAGTTACAGGTCAAAATTCGACATCGGGACAAGGAAAGGCGGTCGCTGGTCGCGTTCATCAGGTAATCGCTAGTCACAGTGCATTTTGAATGTGAGACCGTCCATACCTGGAGAAGTGGTCGGTAGTACCAGGCTGGTCGCTAGTCACGGTGGTCTTTAGTTACAGGTTTTACTGTAGTACCAGGCTGGTCGCTAGTCACGGTGGTCTTTAGTTACAGGTTTTACTGTAGTACCAGGCTGGTCGCTAGTCACGGTGATCTTTAGTTACAGGTACTAGGTAGTACCAGGCTGGTCGCTAGTCACGGTGGTCTTTAGTTACAGGTTTTACTGTATATGCACAGGAGCAAATAGCCCCATCCGTGACAATGTCATTAATTTACAGATGGTAATGATTGCTTACCGTGAACATTTCCGATAGAAGACGTGTTGTGAGACTGTTGTATTCACACCCGCTGCTTACAGCAGGGCTCCACTCCGCTTCTCCTCCTGTCGCACCACGCTGGCACTTGCGTGCTACATATCCATGGCGGGCGTTGGGTAGCAAACTCGCCACCAGTGCAGTGCCATCGCGCTGCTCAATCAACTCGTGCTCGACTTTGGTGACCTCATCGTAGGCATCAGGAGGGGATTCCCCAGATGGGACAGGCCCGGGTACAGGGCAGGGCATGTGTAGAGTCACACCTGCTGGTACGCTTGACCATGCGATTTCGCCGCGTGGATCGGCACGTGTTGATAGCTTGGGGCATGTATCTGGAGTACACATGCCGACACAACACACCAGAAGAAGAAAATACCGTGTCCATCTGTTACACCTCATAAACAAGGTTCTCTAGCTTCAATGATGCCGTGAGCTCCCATAGCTCAGTCGGTTAGAGCGTCGTGCTAATAACGCGAATGTCGCAGGTTCGAGCCCTGCTGGGAGCACGCTCTTTTTTTCGCTTTTCTTCTTTTTCGATATTTCCATGTGCCCAACTTTGGCGTCAGTGCTCAGAATACATAGACATCAAGCGGATAGAACGATGAGTAGAGTAACACTTTCATAAACACTTTCACCGATATTTTTTATCACATACCTATGGAAAAAGGTGAAACAGCTCCCACTTGTACAATCATGTATGTGCACATTAATTTTTGGATTTCATTGAGCGTAAAAGAATGGACTCGGATGGAGAGCCAAGGATAAATTTTCTTTTCTTTAAATTTCTTTGAGCAGAACTTTTTTTGGCGTTCGTTTTATTTCGCAAATCCAAACTGGAATTTCTTCACAGTAACAAAGTAGTGTAGAGGGAAGAAAAAAAGGGAAAAAAGGGAAAAAAAATGTATGTATGCACTATATTTTGTGATATGGTGCGCCTGACTGTGCATGAGGGGCTGCATTGCCGGGTCTGGGGCTGCATCATGAAGGGGACGCGATTTTGGGAGCTGTTGGTGGTGGCCTGTCGCCAGCGCTTGCGAGGTCTGTGGAGCCCTAGCTCTTGGGCTTAAACAGCTACAGTCGTGCTTGGTGAAATTCGACCCAAAGTGGATAATTGACGCCCTCAACTTGCACGGCCTTTGACTCCCTAGAACTGCTATGAATACGGCTGGACGTATACATGTACGAAGTACAGTGATGTAATCGGAACTGGTCCAGAGAGTCAGCTCTGCACTTTGGGTCGGATTTCAGTGAGTGCAATTGTACATAGTCTAGGTGTAATCAGAATCTCGATGCACTGCAAAATAGGGGTAGAGATCACTTCCTCTACCCTCATGAAACATGATCCTTACAATACGAACATGATACCTTATCAGCATGAGCTCCCATAGCTCAGTCGGTTAGAGCGTCGTGCTAATAACGCGAATGTCGCAGGTTCGAGCCCTGCTGGGAGCACGCTCTTTTTCTCTTTTCTTTAGGATCCCCAATTCAAGATTTTTTTGCAAATAACCACACACCATTTAATCCCACAAAGTAGAATTGCAGCAATAGGGCATAATGGAATGCCAGGAGTGGGGCTGAGGCAAGGGCAGTTTTGCCAAAGATAGGGTCTCGGTTTTGTTGCAACCTGGGATGTCTCCCAAAGTGTATTGTGTGCCCCTAAACTTAAAGCTGTGTTCACAACTGGCAAAAGTACGCGTGAAACCATGCGTTTGTGCGTATTTTTGCTGGCTTTTGGGGCGCCATGCGTACGGAAACGCGTCGAAATGGAAATTTCAACATTTTCAGCGCGTACCAGACGCATACCAGCGTACATGCCAGTCACATTGACTGGCGGGGTAAAAAAAAACAGTACTCGAAGGCATCGCACGCCCTAAATACGAGTCGAATTGCTGTTTTTGTAAAAGCCTGAGTGCGCGCTTGGGCACGCATGAACCGCAAGCATACTGCGTCCACACGCCAGTTGGGAACACAGCTTTATGGAGATCAATCAGATACTGCTTACTGAATGGTGTCAAGTCAAAGTGTCCCAGCCGTAATGTCCGGTTGCCCTCGCTCGATGGGGAACTGGCCGACTGGGTGTTGAGCAGGTGATGTTGTAGCTGCGAGAACGTCAGCGCCAACTCAACAAGAAACGTGGCCTCCGCTGCTCCTTGTAGTGGTCTGCACGCACATGTGATGGTAGAGAGCAATGGATTCAACTTATCCAATAATCGGCAATTCAAAAGTCGAATTGCTGTTTTTGTAGAAGCCAATTCTTCAATACGGTACGTATACAGTCAACTTCGCTAATAACGACTGCGGATATAACGACAATTCGCGAATAACGACAGAATTTCCATGCCCAGAGCAAAGTCCCACCCAACTGGTATACATACAATGAGACTTCGGGTATAACGACACTTCGCGAATAAGGACACTTTTCTGATGCCCCGCCGAGTGTCGTTATAAGCGAAGTTGACTGTATACACACATCTGCGCAATCCACACCAGCCCCAATGAACACTAGGAACGTCTAGTTCATTTTTCAGGTCTATGTGAAACCTGTTCGCCAGACCCTTGCACCAAGCAGAATGCTTCATAGTGAACGGACAGATGTTCATACATCAAAATGCTGCGGACGGAACGTGCATCCCTGGTTCAAGTGTAATCCTCTCATATCAGGACAATTTCCACTGCACCAATGGCGTCCGGTTACGGCAGGTTGTACTGTATGTCTTATGATGGTGCATGTATCACGGGTGCATGTATGTACACCTCTCTCCACTTAGATCTACCAGCGCTGCCTCCTATTCCACTATCGTTGTCTGATGATTGGTTCAGCCATGAAACTCTGAGTCACAACGGAATTTGCCAAGGTTTTCATTGTGTGCATTTGTGTAGGTACTACAGTAAAACTTGGTTTAAGCGACCACCCCACAGTGCAACCAAAAGCGGTCGTTAAAGCCAGGTGATCTTTAGAACCAGTGTCTGTGTAGAACTGTCGGTGCATGGAAAAACGGTCGTTAAGAGCAGGTGGTCACTAAACCCAGAGGTCGCTTACATCAGGTTTTACTGTAGTGATAAGTGCTAGGCGAGTACCAATATACCTGATGTCCAATAGGTGGACAGTGGTCTCATAGCCGGCCAGTAGCTGTGACATCTGTCAGTCAGGTGAATTGACAAGACAACACACACACACAGGACAGAAAATACCAAAATCAGGATGTGATATCTGCTGGTGAGATGTCAATGCTCGCCGCATTCTGCTGTTGACAATGTATAGGAGTGCACTGCTTTGAACCAAAACATGATGGTCTGCACTGATGAGGCCTATGTGGCCGAAACAGCTATCTGTCTACAGCACAGGGTAAAAATCAGTTTATATGGAAAACCATTGCCTTTCTATACATTGTATCTGGGTGTTCTGCTTTGTAACGGTAGCAGGGTTGGACACACTGTCTTTCATCTCCACTTTACGGTGTTACAATCAGTGCTAGGGTTAGGGTTAGGGATAGGGTTAGGGATAGGGTTAGGGTTAGGGTTAGGGTTAGGGTTAGGGTTAGGGTTAGGGTTAGGGTTAGGGATAGGGTTCGGGTTAGGGATAGGGATAGGGTTAGGGTTAGGGTTAGGGTTAGGGATAGGGTTAGGGATAGGGTTAGGGTTAGGGTTAGGGATAGGGTTAGGGTTAGGGTTAGGGTTAGGGTTAGGTTAGGGATAGGGTTAGGGTTAGGGATAGGGATAGGGTTAGGGTTAGGGTTAGGGTTAGGGTTAGGGTTAGGGTTAGGGTTAGGGTTAGGGATAGGGTTAGGGATAGGGTTAGGGTTAGGGTTAGGGATAGGGTTAGGGATAGGGTTAGGGATAGGGTTAGGGTTAGGGTTAGGGTTAGGGTTAGGGATAGGGTTAGGGTTAGGGTTAGGGTTAGGGTTAGGGTTAGGGTTAGGGATAGGGTTAGGGTTAGGGTTAGGGTTAGGGTTAGGGATAGGGTTAGGGATAGGGTTAGGGTTAGGGTTAGGGTTAGGGTTAGGGTTAGGGTTAGGGTTAGGGATAGGGTTGAACACGGTTCAGGTCGTATTGGGTATTAGTTGTTTTCATTATATTTGCGAACATTGCATTCATTCAATCATTGTGTTATTTTTCTCATACAAGAAGCTTCTGAGTGCTCATAATACTGTACCTGTGAAGTCAGAAGGCTGGGATTCAGTGGAGTGGTATCCTCCTGTGAGACAACAACCTTCAGGTTAAACAGGCTGTGATCTCCTGGGCAGACAGTAGCAAATATAAGTTCACAGTACAGACAGTGAAAGATTCGAATCAGCGAGAACGGCTCATGCAGTTTGTGGCGAGGCATAGTACTGTCGAGTGGCACGGAACCGCGAGGGGGTGGGGAGGTGTGAGCTGTAATTTATCTACTACCCAAGACTGCATGACGCACATGTGATATGATCCCATCACCGGATGACACTTGTAATATCCTACGACAGCCGTTTTGCCTATTGTGTAGGCTGTTCCTTTTTCAGGTCTATGTGAAACACAAATAATGATGGGATGTTACCCTCTCCCCCTGCTTATACTAAAAACAAATGACGAGGGCGTGGGGAGAAAGGCGGAAAGCTGGATTCAAGAAAAGGACCCAGACAAAAGACACGAAGAAATAAAAAAGAACAAGCAGCAATAATGCGCGGACAAATCGGGACGACCAATCAGAGATCAAAACGTATAGAACCCATGACCAAGACCAAGACAACCAGACCACGGACGAATCACACATGATTCTCATTAGGTTCAGCATGCACATAATGACCGTGAATGGCATGTACCAGCCATCCTACACGTACGCGGTTGTGCACCCCCTTAAAAGGGGTATCAGCTACGTCCCTGCTAGTTATAGAGACTCACCTGCTGGTGTGGCAGCTGGTTGTGGTGCTGATTGCTGGCTAGCGTGACTCTGTCCCTGAGCGTTGCGGGCAGAAACTCGAAATCGCAGTGCTAGACCCTCCAGACTAGTCTGATAATGTGATCCAGGCTCGCCAAGCATGCCTGCACCAGGAGGGTGAAGGACACCAGAGTTTTCTGACTGTCCTGGCTTGCGATGCTGCTGCTGCTGCTGCTGCTGTGGAGGATTGACAAGGGCTTCTCGAAGTGCTCGTGGAGCGTGCAGCAGGTCCACCAATCCGCTGGTGGGTGTATGTTTTACGATACTGTCCTCGCTGATATCCACCCAGGCAGTCAGGGGCACAGGGTTCAGCGTATCTCCACGATTTACGGCAGGCGGCTTCCGTCCCGGAATATCTTGCTTGTTTGCAGAAGCAATGTTGTGCATGCCTTGGTTGAGATCCTGGTTGTGATCTCTTTCAGTTGCCATGGTTACTGTTGCCATCGTTTCGTTCGCTGGAACGGTATGAGTGATTTCTGCTCCTGTGGGCATGTGCGTGGGATTTCCCTCCTGTGGCTGTCTTTCCTTCTGCTTTACTGCCACGACCTGGGCCTGCAAGCGCAGAGAATCCGCCAGCTGTGAATCACGTGGCTCGGTCCAGCTGAGCGCTAGCACGGACTCAGTGACGCGGGATGTTGTTACGCTGAGTGGAGCTACGGGCAACTCTGCAGAAACATCACAGAGACAATGCAGTACAGTAATGGTGACTACACAGTGGGCAGCACAGCATAAAGGTCACATAGACCAAAACAGTACTGCCTGGTGCCTAAGAACTGGGCGTTCGGAGTCCTAGCCTAACCTGTTCTTATCAATATTTTTTTTCATTTTGAAAGGATTGGGAGAAGTTCAAATTCAAAGGATTTTTAGGAAATGTTCATAGCTAACCTACCATATTCGTCTTGATACTGTACCAGGTAACATTAAAGTAAATTTCTTCACGGAGAAGGCGAGAGCCAGAACGTGCCCGCAATTGTAAAAAATATTTTTTGAACAACAAAACACATTAAAGCCTGCTCGTTCTTCCGTGCATCGTTCTTTGGCGCCTGGCAGTACTGTAAGCAGTCTCCACAGTAACGGCGATTGTGCGACGGGCAACACCGCACAAAGGTCACATGGACCATGCAGACACTGCTGTACAGCACTGGTGAATGTGCAGAGCCAGCTGAACGGTTCCTTTGTTCAGCGTGGGTTCAGCAGACCGTTAACCTGGTGTAGGATTTGCGTGCCTTATTGGATGACATATCACCACGGTGGCCAGTCCCACCACTTGCCTTCGGCTTTCACCAATGGGCTGAAGAACTGAGTTTGTTTTCTACTGCTATGCACATAGTATTGTTGAACTCAACGACTGCGATAATCCCATACTATACATGTACATGTACAACAAAGCAAGGAATTTGTTTGGGGGGAAAGGAAAATTTTATCGCGGACAATCAATGCGATCGTACGATGAAAATAAAGAACATAGAAAAATTTAAAAAATATAATAAAAACCCAGCAAGTAACAGGTACTAGGTACAAGTAGGTGATAGGGACGACAGAGGGTACCTAACGGGTTGCATTCATCATCGTTGCTGAGACAATTTTGGAGGAGTGCCAACTCTAGTACAATCAGTCATGTAACTGTTACTCTGCATACTGGTGGGAGAACAGCCGCTGAGTCTGACCATCCCATTCTACTAACTAGTTTAGGGAAGATCATTTAAATTATCACCAAACGAAACAAGCTCATGCCGAATTCCCTGATAAGGGATAGACCAGCACGCATTCCAACCTGTCTATGGCGACCTTCAGTCACCGCAGTGACTGAAATGTACAGTCATGTTCCTGTGTCTATCACTTAGCCAGGACGAGAAGTCTGTTTGTAACACCCGACGACGCCATGACAGCATGGTATTGAACAAATTAATTCACGGTTCGCTTAATTAAGACTCAGGTAAAGAGCTTTCAGCATCCCTAGCCTAGGAACGCCACCACCCTGCAAGTGCAAAGATCTAAGGCGCAGATGCCTGCATGTGCTAGCATGGTATGGTATGCTATAAAGAATGATGACACTTCGACGACAGGTGTCGAGAATGCCGGCTAGCTGTGACTAATCCACGTACACGCATGTCACGAAGTGTCGACGCCTGTCACGCGCCGCAGTGAGCTATCTCCTTTCAAAACTGTGTATGTCACGAACACCAGTGCACGCACGATCAGTTCTTAGTCATAGAGCAAAGCCAAAGACCCCTTCCCCTGCAAGTGCACGGACTACACCTGCTGCAATCCTTTTGTCAGGTGTTACTGTTAGGAGTTCACTAACTCCACTGCACTGCCGGGGTTGTGTGTTTAGGGGCTGATTCCCCGCACCGTTGACCTACTGCCGGTGGCTAGCAAAATTGTTTCCATTCTTGTGATGTCAGAGAATGTCCCCTCGACTGATGATTTTAGAGTGGGACTAATGTACGAAATGCGATCACATCACGTGTTCACAACAGACCTTCAAACCTCTGTACAAGTGACACATTGGCGACCGCTACAAGGACGAGTGACCAGAGAACAATGGGCCGCTGTATGCCTCAGAGTCAAACTGACTTTTGGTCACCCGGTTCACCGTTTCTCTCCACGTCACTTGCGATTGGATGTCGACCATAACTAACTACAGTGGTATGCGAGAGACCTTCAGACACATGTCATGTATTGGAGAAACGAATGTTTTCGTCGTGCCATTTCCAGCAGCCAGAATGAGATACATAGCATACATCCCCACCTCGTCATTCCGCTGCTTCACGGCAACGCTGTTACTGCCAAAGATACGTCGCCGTTGGGTGTTGTTTGTCGGTTGGTTTTATTTTGATTCGCACATTCAAAAGGGACCCTCAAAAATAAATTCTTGCTACGGTTTTGATAGGGTTTGGAAAGAAAATGTGAACTAAGCTGAGGAAGACACACATCTGGTGAGCTGCGTCATGGGGATTTGCAGTCAGATGTCCGTTCGTGAAAGTTCGATATCAGTGCATCCAAGTGCAGGATTGTCACGGATTATTTCTGTTCAATCCAGGGGTGGGTCCATGGCCGAGAGTCCACACCAGTCACTACCTGCGGATGTATCACGATACAATGTGCATGACTGTACTTTGAAAGAGAACCACCCAAAAACGCGCATGGACCCAAGACAATAGTATAATAATGGAACGAAGTGGGTCCAATAGTCAAAGGTTGTCGTGACGCCAGGCTGGCAATGCAGTAGCACTTCCAAACCCTATCTGTGTCAGTATTACAATGAGGTGTGTAGTTGATAGCGTGGTCGTCGAGCACGAACATGAGGTTCTTCTGAGTGAGCAGTGTACACTAGGTATTGAAGATACAAAGACAACAGTGGAGCGGTCCTTCTTCCTTGGACGTCTCATGATTAGTAGACTGACAGTTTTTTTTTGTTTTTTTGTTTTTTCAGTACACGTAGTTATGTTCCTAATCTACCCTTGCTGCTATCATGTTAGTGTACGCAGTTAGTGTACGCCGTTCCACCGATCATCGTCATCTCAAACCATGCATGCCGGTGTGAAGTGGAGAAGCAATGAAACCGATACTGATCACCTGAACAAATCGCATCTACATATCTACACAAGAGCGACGTAGCGTTCCTGTGCGTTCTGTTGCTTTGTCCCTCGCATTACGGCAATTGATCCTGATTCCTTACACGAACGTGCGAGAAGAAAGTAAGCCCATTGACTCCTTTAGGAACGTGCAAAAAGAAACTCGACCAACCAGCCAGCCATCAACTCTCTGCGTAAAAGGAACTGGGGAGTGAGGAGTGAGGTGTCCCGATAGATTCTGTACGTGTGCAGTACATGTATCATGGTCGTGAAGTGCGACATAGACGTGTTGATCAGGGAGACGGCAATGTGCCAACGCCAGAAATTGCAGCTTAGGTGTGGAGACTTGCATACATGTTTGCTTGGAGTGCTGCTCAGGGGCACACACAAGAGAAGTCAGGGGGCATATGTCCTTGCAACCCCCCCCCCCCCCCCCATGACTCATAAAGTCATAATGTAGTGTGATGCAGTTTCAATCACAGATCACTTTTGCATTTTTGCGGGGGAGGGGGGGGGTGGGGAGGGGTCAATATCCATTGTTTTACTGGGTTGGTATGTTTACCAACGTTTTATTGCATTCATATCCATTCTGTTTAGTTTTCCCGTGAAAGAGAATCTCCATGATGTCGTTACACACGGCAGTCGCTCAGTATAACTTGAGCTTACAGGTCGATCAATGTCCATGTGTACTGCTTGTGGCCGATGACTGATGGTACACTTATGACTATGTACCTGATAGCTTACGCTACCGTACTGAAGTACAATACTCATGAGTGTTTTTGAAACGCGAAACTCGGAGTTACAAGAATGATTTTTGGTCTCTCTTGTTCAGCCCGTGAGGTATAATACTGTGTTATGCTTGGATGGAGAGCCAAGGATTAATGAAGAAAAGAGGACCAAAGAGCTACAAGTTACAAGTTACTATAGCGTAAACTTGTAGCTCTTTGGTCCTCTTTTCTTCTTGTACTTTATAGTATTATGATTCTTGATAACTGATGCTAAACATGTACTTATGCCTGTATGGTTGATAACTGATGCTATAATGACCATTTTGGTTGGTGCTCTAACAGCGTGTGGGATGCTTTGCAAATCTCGCGTGGAATTCACACTTGATCATGTTACACCTTGGCGTAGCCACCAAGTGTTTCGAATTGATGTGAACCAACCAATCGCCGCACGCCATTCTACATTGCAAGTGTCTCCAGTACATCGTACACATGTTTCGTGCTCTGGTATCGACAATGTTTGAATCAATTTATGGCGAGTACAAGGTTGGAGTTGGTACCTTCGCCCCAGGCCTCCGGTCTTGTCATGTAACTCATCTCCCAAGAAGTATTCCATCATGAAGTATCACGTTGCATCTTTCTCCTACATTGCACTTGTGGTCGGAACAGTGCGTTGAAGTGCCGAGGGTATGCTGTTTCGTTCCGATACTATACTCCTTATTAAAGGTGAGCGACCGATAAGTACCAGCCTGCAGAGTTCTTGTCAGATGTCTTGATCGGTCGCGTAGCGAACTGCATCGATTTGTTTAAACGGAGAACAGAACGAGTACTGGAGCGAGTCACGATCGACAGTACCGCGCTGCGCAGGGAGTTCGTGATGAAGCCTGCGTGCGTTGCAGGTGCCGTGGTACCATCTCGAGCAAGGACCCTTTCAGGACGGATGGCATTCCAGGATACCGCGGAGCGTACCTTGTCCATTGGCCATATCAGCAACTCAACACCGAACCTGGATACCTTGCAGCATGGGGTGGTAGTGAAAGCATGATCACGCGGCCATTCGCTGTTCTACTTTTGTCCATTTCTGCGTACATGTGCAACGCCATTACGCGTACAAGTGTAACTCTTCGTGAACTCTCCTAAGGGCACAGGAACTGCGCCACCGCGGAGATAAACAACTAACTTGTAAGACGAAGCTCAGAAATATTCTACTTGCAGCCCGTTCGATATGCTAGAGTCCTGTAAGAATGGCGAGGAAGAGCCTGGAGGCGAATCGCGGTCCCTGTGCGCGAGGCTTTGGACAGCGGTGACCGGAGAGCCAAGACAAGGAACTAGTTTCGTTGGCTTGTTCGAATGGCGGCGAGGTAGAGGCATCACGGAGGCGGCATACCCTGTAGAGTCATCATTGGGAACAGCGCACATCCAGCTACTTCCTCTGGGTTTCTTGTCCGAGTCATAGCCCCTAGGAACGCTTCCAGCGTACCTCGTCCCCCAGGAACGGTTGGACAGGTCTTGCGCGGCGCTGTCATGTCACGCACACTGTGAAGCTATGGTGCTCGGCCGGAATCAGCCTTTTGAACGCGAACCCACTGGCACACGTAACGGATCTTCAGCCCCTCGCCAGTTCGGTGCCTAAGGACAGGGTCAGTTAGCGGAGGCACGGGGCAAGATGCTCGGCTATGTGCTGAATGACCATGATGGCTAGGGGTCATGAGCACAAGCACAATTATACAGCTGCATGCCAAGCCGTGTCGGTGACTCCGATGTTGACACATGGCCATCCGCCGATTTGCAGTGCTGTTAGCGCGCGTGAGGGTGCTGTTACACCCGACTCCTATGCTCGGATCAACATCCCCCGATTGAATTACTGGCACCCATTCCCCACGTCCAGTGTCCCATTGCTAAATAGTGGCTGCTGCTGCCACCGTTTCCCCTTCATCGTCACCTAGTGTTTGTCCACTGCCCTGTGATAGATTGGCATGCGGAGCTGCCCCACACTGCACGGAGCAGCGGGTGCTATTTCTGTCATGACTAATGTCCTCTACAACAAAGATTCTCCTCTGCCACGCGTCACCAACATTCGCAGCATTCGCAGCCTCATCACCACGAGTAGCATCAGCAGCATTAGCAGCAGCACCACCACCAGCATTATCAGCAGCAACAGCAGTTTCAGCTTGCATTCCCCGTAACACCCAGATCACGGACAGGAGATGCGAAGCAGCCACTGACGTTCCATTGGAATCACTGCGTGCCAGCTGGTGGGCAAGGTGTCAACCGACTCAGGAAACATCATCGCAAGAATGTACCCTTGGACATGGTTAGCGCTGACTAAACGCTTCTCGAATCAAGATACAAAAGACCCAGGTTTCCAACACCATTGTCCTTGTGTGTCAATAGTCGAGTCCTCGTAACATTGGATCTTCGTTCACGCTAATAGGGAGTGAAGGGAAAGATCGATTGACAAGGTGTTCAAGTCAGCTTGGACATGGCGCGCATTGTGGTCAGGCATGCTGTTTGGGTAGTGTTACCACTAGCAATGTGATAGCACCGTTCAGCACTTCCTCCTGTGCATGAGCTGTGATCTTCGAACGGTATCATAATAGTATTTAGGGCTTGATCGCTAAAGGCACGCACTCGGCTACACTGCTTGCATATGATCCTGCTGGAGTGGTTAGTAACTAATTTCAAGTCAGTCAGCTGTACGCGAGCAGGAGGAATCGGGAAAACATTTGGGTTTCAGGTGCGCGGCGTCGTCCTACCGTTGGCACTGCCAGTGACTTCCAGCAGTCAACAAGGTATACGACATTTCCCTGCGCACAAGCCACGGCTAGGGTCTGTGCAGCTCACGCCTGTACTTGTGCTGTTGGTGTCCAAGCAACCAGGTACCCTGTGTTGTGGGATGCAAGGAACTGCTGCTGTTGCTAGTACTGGTCTTTGAACTACTGGCCTGTTTGGCAGGACGGCATAATACGATCGCCCGGAGCAGCAGTTCAGCAAAGAGCACACTATCACATTTAGAGTTTCGTTTCTCCTGCTCATTTGCTAAACAGTGCGAGGAACAAGCTCAGAGACATCACAATTTTGTCCCGAGGGTGTTATTTGTCCAGGAGACTCGTGTATCATGGTGGTGTGTTGACAGCCGCAGCGGTTGCTCACCTCGCTACCCTTTCACTTTCAATCGGCATACAAAGGTGGTTGGGTCAGCAAACGCAGCACAGCGCGTACATGTGCAGAGCTGTGTGATGAACGCTCGATCAAACGCCACCAAGGCCTAGTCCTCGACGTCTATGCGCTGAGAATAAAACCTGGATCTGTGCATGTTCCTAGGGTTGCACTCATCTAAGTCATGCGTTACTTGTGATACATAATTGTACGCAGGCACGGAGTATTACGCGCTGATTTCGAGTTGCGCGTGCGTGCATGCACGCCTGCCGTTTATCTGCGTCGCACGGGCAGCACTAATGTCAGAGAGTTCGCACTCATCTGCCACATCTCTCCAGCAGGAACACACGCAGCAGCAGCAGCAGCGAATTCCTCAGGGCCAGAAGGAGCAGTGTGAAGCGCAGCAAGGCCACACCGCACCCCAGGGGAGATCGTCTCCGGAGGAGGGATTCACCCAAGCAGAGACAGTTGAAGGAGAAAACATTGCAGACGAGCGGCGGACAGAAGCTGGAGAAATGCGGACCAGTCCAGTTTTGATGGCACTCGACGCGTCACCATCGCCCAGTCTTGTAGCAGCATCGACGCCGCTGCCGCCAACCCTGGGATTCGGCGCAGAGCACTCCCAAGACCCTTCACAACATCTCGTCTTTGCGTACTCTCCCACGACGACAACGACACTGACGGGCTACTCGGATATCCAGCAACCGTACCCTGCCATTCCTGGACGCAAGCGCCTCCATCACCATTCCGGAGACTGGACGCAAGTGGAAGACACCCGCAGATGGGGTGCCAGTGCGGGGCAAATGTACCCATACCCACCTCAGTCACATAGTCAGTACCATGGCGAGGGACACTCGGGCCGCAGTTCGTCCGGGAGCCCGTCCGAGGCGGAACCCTCAGCTAAGCGACAAGGCATTGCACACCCACCAGGAACCTATATCTCAGCCTCGCAACCGCGACATACCCTGGCTGCTTCGACCACCATTGTTCCTCGTACTCTACTTCTTCCCTCTCCTACGATGGAGTCGCTGCATCATCATCAGCAGCAGCAGCAGTATGGTCCCCGTTCCAGTGGTGTAACTTGCTCCGGGGCCTTACGCAGCTTTGCCTATTCCGGCCATTCGACACTTTCCAGATCACACGTATATAGCGTTGCAGCACCAACAGTGGCAGGAATGCCCACGTTGGCACCAATAACAGCCGCCACACCGACCAGCGAAACTGCTAGCAGTCCACTGACCGCTCCATTGAGAGCAACACCACGATCAGCACATCCAGCTGAAGGCCAGCAGCCAGGAGCACCAGCGATCACGGCTGCTACTAGTGCTGGTGGTGGCGTGGCTGCCAGTAGTACTGGTGGTGGTCGACAGAGAGGCAAGTGCAGAAAGTCTTACACGGTTCAGCAGAAACTAGGCGCAATCGCCATGCGCAAGTCTGGTCTCACCGTCAGTCAGGTAAGTCAACAACCATTAGCATCTTTTCGTGTGCTGTTTTTCATTATAATTATTTTATTCTTTGCTAATGCCACATTCCTAGATTAAACGGATGAAAGAAAAGCAGTGATAACACCGCTACAAATGTAGGGGTTACTAATCAACTATTGCCTGCAATCTCTCTCTTTCTCTCTCTCCCTCTCTCTCTCTCTCTCTCTCTCTCTCTCTCTCTCTCTCTCTCTCTCTCTCTCTCTCTCTCTCTCTCCCTTTCTCTCTATCGACCTCCCCCTTTTCTTCCCACACACTCTTTTAAAGGATTTGTAGAGGCAAAAGTACCCAATGTTTATGTACTCTTGGTGATTCATAGAGATAAACACTTCTGAAGATAATGGAATCGTAGCACACCGGCCTTTCAAGATCTAGTGTAAAACATGGATCCCATTTACTACACTTCTCATGGTGCATAGTTTGAAACTTATCATCACAGCCCAGTGAGGATACAGCCTCCTATGCTGAAGTAGTCGTATGGTCCTTTCACAGTGTAGGACACCTGAACTACTAGTAGTGGTCAGGTTTCAAGTCAGATCGGTGGGGAAAGTGCGAGCTCCAGTGTGGGAAGCAAACAACTTCCTCACCCATAAACTATCGCTCAATCTACAGACAGTATGTTCATGTAGTGTTCGAGTACTGAGGGTCACTTTTGGTATCTTCTCCATTACACCCCAGCAAGATCTTCTACGCAGAAGTTCTGACCATGGCATTGCACCGATCTTAAGATCGGATGATGAGGGAAGGGTAAGAAGGTATGATGGTTATTGGAATTGTTTCCGTTCCCAGGCACTTGACCTTCCGAGCGAGCACCTTTTCGCCCGGTATCCACCAGTCCATGCAGCCTATGTGGACGCACAAGAGATCCTTGTTCATCGTCACCTGCGCTCACAAGAAGCCAGACTTGAGAACTTTATTTTCAGCGTGGCTCTTCTACTGCAGCCCTGGGTCAATACGCGGGTCATAACAATCGACTGGGACCACAGTAAACATGAGCAACTAATCCTAGAGAAACTGATGAACGAGTTTTGCACCGGCTGCACCAGCAGATACGCGATCTTACATCTTACATCGCCTAATGGACAGACGAGAGTCTCTTAGACTGTAGTATGACAAATTAGCGAACTACACCGTTCCCTTAATGAGAATTTGAATGTTCAGCATATTACTAGTATGAGCATGCACTTCGCTGTAGTAACGGGAGGTGGATCTGACACACTGTTTGTATATACACTTGATTACGTCTACAGCTCTGTACTACGGATCCTACATGCGCATTGCCCTAGATTTGATTATGGTTATTAGAATTTTAATACCTCCGCTAATGGTGAGATCGCTGTGTGCCCCGCTAGTGGAGCGAGACTGAAGTAGATGTAGCATTATACACTGGCGTGTTCACACGTCCAGTCATGATACTAGCGGGCAGGACGTGTCGTTTCTGCGCGTGATAAATCACAACGTGGAGAGCGTCACGGCCCATACATGTACTACATGTACAGATAGCGATTAAAAAAGTGTACCTCAGTTTCCCGAGACTCTCTTGCTGTTGGAGGTGACCAGCAAGTACAGGACGTCTTGCCACGGACCACATCGCTCTAACACACTAACATTCTCGTTTCACATCTCTGCTATATGATGGTGTATTGGAGTTTCACATCATTCTGCACTAACATGAAACCTACTTGAACCTACTTTATCACATGGAAAAAACCCAAACCAACAGAAAAGCACTAGTGATCCCTTTGCTGCTCGAATCCTGTTCAGATGTCAAATTCGCGGCCAGGGACGTTCATTATTCTGCGCCCTGGCCCAAAAAATGTTGATGGAAACTAGACAGATTTGCAGCCAAGATACCACTTGCGTTAGTGAAGGTTTAGGGTTTTCAGTGTTGTGACTGCAGTGGAGCTAGCGAACCTTAGACATGTTTTATCACCAAAACTATTATAATTATCATACTGTGAAACTATAGCGTCCCCCTTGAGTTTCTTTGGATTAGACTTTTTAAATTTTCATTTTGATTTCATCGTCGAATTTCACCCCTTGTGTCTTTGGTGTTCTTCCTTCTTTCCATGTCATATTGTTTGAATAAACCCGTTTTTGACATACATGTAGCGTGCCCCAGTGCTCAGAAACACCTGTACTTTAGAGCCGAGGTACCGTGGATAGCCATGTACATCATCAGTACATGTAGCCATGTACCCAGTGTCAAAATTAATGACTTGCATAGCATGGTACCTCAACCAATGTAGAGTAAAACCTGTAACTAAAGACCACCGTGGCTAACGACCAGCCTGGTACTACCGACCACTTCGCCAGGCACGGTCGGTCTCACATGGTTGTGCGTTGCAAACCTCTAACTTAGGACCACCTGGTACTAAAGACCGCTTTCTCTCGCCCTAAGGGGTGGTCGTTAGTCACAGGTTTCACTGTACGTTACATTGGAAAGGGTGTTACATTGTATACAATCATGATGATTGTATCCAAGGTACTTTACACCGACGTTGCACAGCACAGCCCATTCCCATCTGACAATGGCATTTGGCCAATGGAATTACTTATAAGGTATTATGAAAGGCGTGCTCTGCTGAAAGGCTCGCTGCGCTGGGGTTGTTTCTGTGCCTGCACAAAAGCTCTTGTTTAAGACAGAGTGATGACAGCGAACATGAAGGGCTCATGATGGAGGCAGTATGGACGTGACAGTCTCAGCTGCTAGGCAGGAGAGTGGCGGCTGCCGACACAGAAGGTAGCTCATCTTCTCCATGGCATTCTTTGTCCCCGCGGGGACAGCGCCAGTACGGCAACACACAGTGATTATAATGATACTGGCGGAATGGAGTTATGTCGCGTCACGCAGATGACAGAAGACATTGACACGAAGGACAGGTCTCACCAAGGAAGGAGACCTTCGGCACGCGAGCCCTGGAGACTTTTGAAAGACGCCGCTGACAGAATAGCTAAAGTGAAACAGGTCACAAAGCGCGTGGTTAGAGAATGCAACCAATTCTGGACAGAAACACAGGACACCGTCAGAAAGCAGTGGATACACAAAAGTCCTTAGGGCTTGTTGCCGAGTCCATCCGACTTCCCGTGGGACTGTTTCATTTGTCGTCAGTGACCAAACCATTGATTTCGTCTGTGCACTTTCACAACGTCACATCAGCGTCGTGCAGTCAGCCTCACGGATGACGTCGCATCAACACATTTCACAAAGGGAGGCGCGCTTCTTGCCGACAACGCAACACTGCAGGGGGCAGTATTTCTTTGCTTCTGGGGACAAGTTTGAAATTCGTTGACGTTTGCTCACATCTTGAGGACAGGTGTCGTCACGCAGCCGTGTGGCACACCATGCAGGGATGACCAATTTGGCATTCACTGAGTGGACGCATGTAATCGCCTAGTTCTCGTTCGCTTATGAACGCTTGCAAGTCGCTTGTCGTCAGGGCTTCTGGCGTCTCAAGATTTTCAATCGACGGCACAGGTAGAGCTCTTGGTATTTAGCCTCCTGAGGAGAATTTTTGAATCCCTCGATGCTCCTTACACGTACCACAGGAGCCGAGACCAAAGATCGGCGAGTCCGCTGCACCTCAACCACACAGCTGCCATCTGCTGCCAACTTCCTTGTCCATGCCTGTGCGTTCACTTCTCTTCCTCTCCACCTGAATACCCGCTCAGTGAATTGTGTTCGTATATTTCGCAACAACAACAAAAAAACTAAGAAACTTGCTGTACCGGTTTCGCTTTCAAATCAAGCTACAACGTACATACAGTAAACAGTACGTCTTGCTGCTGGTCAAGGCCAAGTCTATTTTCTCTTGAAGAACAGTATTAAATTTTATAAGCGTGGTGTGCGTGCATGATGAAGAGCCATGGACAGTAACGGAAATGCCAGGATTCGGTGTGGTCACGCTGTAAATAGTTCTGCTCTTTCGTTTGCTGAGATTTCTTTACTTTTTTTTCGCAACGCGCCTTTGTACCGTTTATCCAAGAGTGCTACCTTCTCCTGGATTGGTCCAGGCGCGTGGTGAGAGTTGCCAAAAGAATATAATTAATGGAAAATGAGAAGCAAATGCTCTACGTATTCGTCCATAGGAATATGAAATTGTATAACGTTCTCTCGTCGTTATTTACAAGGCAACATCAATCCACTTTCCAACTCTCGCCATTGTTGTTTTCATTTGGATTCCAGATGAAAATAGAAAAATGTGTCCAATGGCAGGAATGCGAAAATAGAAATCAAACAGTGAGAAGGGATAACTTCGCCACGGACCTGCTTTCATTGGCACCTTAGCGTCTGTTGGGAATGCCCAAGTAAAATAATAAAATACAAATACAATACACGCAGGTGCTGCACTATACAGCGTAGAAGCTGCAAGGACATTGTAGCTAATTGATTGATTTGCACGAATCAGTCGACGTGTTCCGTTCCTGTGGTTTACTGGCGCGTGCAATCGCAATCCTTCAAACGCTACACGACTGTACGGGATCGTGTGCCTCGTTCTCAGTGTTCACAGAGGAAGTATCATGGTGAACTCGACAAACAAGACGGAAATACGATGGGTTGTACACACAACCGCTCTGCAGCTAAATCCACTCGCCAAGGTCAGGGTGCGAATAGCTCGACATGGAAGGGAAGCGCCTAGTAGTAGTGCTGCGAACATCACTGCTCCTTTCCCGGCCATTGAACAAGGTAATCTGGTCCGTTTCAGCGAGGTTGTGTGTGTGCCTTCTTTACTGATGTCACAATTAGAAGCCGGCCCGCTTCTTTGACGCTACACTACAACAATGTTAACGAACTTGTTCTCACCTTGCCTCTGGCACATAGTTACTGCACCTGATCGAGCAGCGCCGTAGAGGGGGACTCTGGTGAAGGTGATTCGTTTGTTCAGCTCTTCGTCTATTCACGCATGACGATCTCCGATTGCTGGTGCACAGAGGACACCGTGTACGTGTCATGTAGAAACGCGAACTCTTTCACGCGCTGTTGACGTTCACCCTGCCTTTGGAAGGGCAATTTCACATTGCTTTCATACGTATACGTGTCCAAACATCAAGGAGTTCGAGTGTTACGTACACGTAAAACGTGACAAAGCACGTGAATGATTAACGTTAGCAAGCTGGTGCAGTGCCTAGGGCCTGAGTCGAACCAACGCAAGCTGTTTCTTGATGATTCCTACACGAAATACGCGTGTACGTGCACTTCCGACTGGTAGTTTGTCATCCAGGCATATGGCCTGGAACATGAGCATCTGTGTTTGTTGGACACGCACCCAGTTCAGCGGATCAAGGGTCTATTGCCCGCTCTCGCTGGATTGCAGTACAGGGCTAGCAGCGGATGGCTGTGCAATCGCCATTATCGGCAACATTTTGCTTTGGGTACTGATACATCACCAAGACGGTCCAATCTACACGAGCATCACGGAAAACTAGCTTTAGGTTAGTGCCGTATACATGCACAACACTAGGTGCATGTTACATACAGAAGGTTGTTTGCTTGGGATGTACTATGACATCACGCTCCACAGGAAACCCAACAAAGCTACATAACCCGCTCAACCAAACATACTGTGCTCGTAAACTTGGCGGAGTTGGACAGATGGCGGCGACATACGCTCCATGCCCCCAAACAAGACCAGTTCATTCGCTCGGTTGTTGCTACATTGTAACTGCCATTTTCCGCGTGATGCTGCAATGATTGCTCGGTGTATCGGGGTTTGCGAGCGAATGGATCATCGACAGTGTACATATATGTAGCGATTGTCTCCAGTCAGTGTCTCCAGTCAAGGACACGTGCGGGAGCCTTCGAAAGCAAGCAAAGGAAGAGAGAAGTAATTTCCCGTGCAGCTGGCATCTCAGCACGCGATCTTGAAGAGACGGGACCAACTTCCAACAGCGCCGAAGTGACCAACCTAGATCTACATTGTACTTTACCAGCTAAGCCTTTCGACAGGTGTCAAGCTCTGCAAGGGCGGTGCGCTGCTTCCGTTCAGCTGGGCAAGGACATGATGTCCAGCTTGCGCTATGGAGACATTCTTCTGCGCCTGTCAAAACCGCCGAAATCTTCCCCGTGCAAACTAGTCCCTTCCATTAGAACGATAGCGCTCAAGCTGTCAGAGAAGATGTTCGAAACGCTAAGTAAATTATGCTACCCAGCGATCGCTCAACGCCCATCAATTCGGTGGCATGACCCTTAACAGCGACAAATCATAGCCAGTCATGGCATGCGTGCGTGCGTGCGTTCGCACACTGTTAATTCGCTTGGACATGAGTTTGAGCGACGAATAACGAGCATTATACATGTACTTGAAGTAGTACTGAATGAAAGCACCAACATAAGTCTCCCGTTCATTTCTGTGCTCCTGTCTTTATTCTCGTGAGTTTGTGTACTCGTTTTGCTGTCTGTTTGGTTTATTGGAATTCGCACAGTAAACGTGTACTTTAGCTATTCTCTCCTCCCTCTTCTGAGTTTGACTCTCCGCTGGCCTTCTCTCCTCCCATCCCCGGCCTTACATTGTATTGGGCCTCCGCAGCCCCCCCCCCCCCCCCCCCGCCACCACCCCACGCACACACTACATTGTCACATACATGTACATGTAGCACAGCTCAACCATTCGCTATCCTGTTATTGAGCACTCCTGCTTTTATTTTATTTTATTTTTTATTGAAAACCACAAACCTTCAGACATGTGAATGTGCACATGATATACAGTGTACATACATGTACGTATGTATCGAGAAGGCAGCACAGAAATGGCAGTGCTGCTCGTTTGGTCTCGCGAATCCAAATAAAATCAATCAATCAATCAATCAATGCCCCTGCCTAACAAGTAGAAGGAAACTACCAGTAACTACAGGGCTGGCAACTGAAATCCGACCCCCTGGGCGGCGCGTTCACTTTCTAGCGGCCTCTATTTCGGGTCTTTGCGATGTGAGCGCACCGCTCAGGGGTCGGATTTCAGTTGCCAGCACTGTAACTAAGCCTACGCACGAAAGAACGCCTAAACCAGTACAACGAGAATGGTAGGGGCATCACGTGACCAAGAGCCTATAAGGATCGATTGTATAGTGATAGCGAGTGAATGTATTCTCATGCATACACGTGTCAACACTTGCCGTTGCGTCAGGCCCGAAAGCATTAGGGACCGGCCGTTCAAGTACTGACACGATGCCATCTTCTCACGTCAGCTTCTGTATCACGGACGACGACACTGACAAATAGGCATTAGAGCGCTCTCTTCCCACCTTGTTTTGACGCAATATAATTAACGCATATCAAAATGTCAAAACTTAAAACAGCTATCCGCCTGTGAACATTGCTGCGAGCACTGAATTAATCACCCGTGGTGATTGGATTTCTTCATTGCAATGTGCGCGAGAGCGCAATGCCACATGGCGGTTTGTTATCAACATAGCTGTAGGTCATGTTGTGTTGGTCGTCACCAAACTGAAACCTAGAACTCGTCGATGTGTTAACGCCAATAACGGTAGTTGACGGCCATGCTGTCTGACGATCGGTCAAGGCATGAATGAAACTAAACATCCTCTCCTCTCCTGTATTCGCGAGTCTGTACTTCGGGGCGTTGAGCGTTCGTTCGAGCTGCCAAGACTAGCCCTAAGCTAAAGCTTTATCGACACTAGACCACCGTACAGTCATACATGTTGGTTGTACACACAACTCACAGAGCACCACGCATCATCGTTGTAACTATCACTGCTGGCATTAGTGTGATGCCCATAGCATAGACAATCACCGCTATTATTAGCACTGCATACAGCCATTAGGAGTCTATACTCAGTTTGGTCACCGTGTATGATCGATCCATAGGACAATACTGACAAGTCCTGCTCCTTTCCGTGTGTGTTTGTGTATGTGCGTGTGTGTTCGTGTCTGTGTGTACATGTATGTGTGTGTATGTATTTTCGTATGTGTATATGCGCTTCCGTATATTATCCATGTGTATATGTTTGCGTGCGTATCCATGTGTGTGCGTGTGTGTGTTCTCTTGTCGTTCGCACCGCAGGTTGCAGTTCGGTACGGAGTGACACCGAAGATGGTTCGGGACTGGTGTCGTCATGAAGACGAACTGCACGACATGGCTGCAGACACGGGCAGTGATGGCAAGTCTAAACGAAAGCTGCACCCGGGTCGCAAGCCGCGCAACGTGCAGCTAGATAAACTACTCTATGACAAGGTCAGTGCGTGGTAGAAAGCTGATGCTCACTTTAGACATTGGCTGTACATGGACAGTCATGTAAACTTCAGTAGAACGTACCTTGGGTACAATATTTTTCCTTTCCACCGGATATAACGGACACATGTTGGGCCCATGCATGTTGGAAAGGCTCCTGATTAATGATTTGCTCCTAGGTGCCACTTTTTGAGTGAGAACAAAATGGAAGGTATCCTTTGCGATTTCCTTGAAGGAATTAGGCAGAGGATCTATGGCATGTTTCCTAGACTGATTGATTGATTGGCTTTCATTTTACTTCGCACATTCAAACGGGATGACGACCCAATAAAATGATGGCGAAGTCTTAGCATATCCTGTAATCTCTCAGCTTTGTACACTGGTACATGTAAATGAATCAGCCAACTAATTACTTGATGAGCCATCATCAGCAACTTTATGCACGAGACAACAGAAACTGATTTACCAGCCCATGGCTACAAAGGTCATGGCTGTGACATGTGTCGTGTATTGACAATGCAGCCTTTAACCGAGTTGTACTCATCCATTTTTGGCTGCTGAGCGAAGAATAGGAAACGAAATCTAAGCAAGCTAGCTCCGTCCATATGTATGTATGTATGTATGTATGTATGTATGTATAACTCATAATCACAAGGTGATCGTAGAGGCATTAATCAGCGAGAGAATTGTGAATGATGTCTCTGAATCCAGCTCTATCGTGTGCTGCATGAGAGAGAGCATGCAAGGGAAGACTATCCGTCTATAAACTGTCAATCCCACACAAGGAACACAGCTGTATCGTACTGCTTCTCTCATCTTCTTTCTGTACCGTATTACCTCTGCACAATCCCAGTATGTACAGGAAACAGCGAGAGGATACCATCTGAAGAACAAAGACCTGCAGCAGATGGCTTTGTCGCTGGCGAGCGAACTGGGAGAGACGGGATTCCGGGCGAGCAGCATGTTCTTGCGCCGCTGGAAGAGACGCTACAACGTCGACATTCGCGGACCGGGAGCAACGTACGGGGAAGGTGAGTTCGTTATCTGCTGCTTGAGGGAAAATGTGCATGATATACCATCGGGATTACATTTTGGTTTGATTTGTCTCCAACAAGCAGTTTGTATGATTTCTCATCCAAATGGGTTTTTTTTGCACCATTCTGGACCGCTTGTCCTTTCATTTTGACATGTGCAGTACAGCCATGCGGGTCCCAATTATTGAGTGAAGGACCACAGGCCTGAGTACCACGCTCACCAGCGCGTCACTCTCACTGGGGCAGGAGGTCTCTAGTGCCTCCTGCTGCCCGGCCTATGATCAGAAATGACTGTTGGCTACTTGCGTGTTATCTGTTCCATCGGTCACTAGGTTCTTCGTCAGTGCCATCCGAGGGCAGACAAGACCTGGATGTGTCTGAAGCAGAGTCCACAAGCGAGCTATCACCATTAGTCAATGTGGATTATGATGATGACGACGACGATGACGATGTTGATGATGATGCACACCTGGGGATTCCCCTAGAAGAAAGTCTGGAGGCTGCTAGCACCACTGCAGAAGCTGACGTACATGCCGAACACGGGTCGGAGAGCGAGTCCGACGAGTCGGCCACCCCGCATCGCTACGAGGAACGCAGGCACCACCCCGGCACCATGGGGTCAGCAGCGGCTCCACGGAGCCAGCACCCACAGGCCACACCCTACAGTCTGCACTATCAACACCTCCAACACCAGCAGCAACACAGCACAGTTGGCCGGCAGTTGCCACGACAACCCCCTTTGGACTACCAAGTCAGTACCAAACCTCAGGTAAGGCGTGCCGTAGAAAGTTTAGTCAATTGTATACTGTAAAACCAGAAAGTCTAACGAGTCACAAAGTCTAACGTTTTAACGACCAATTATTTTCGTTATTAGAAAAAGACATTATCGCTAGATGTCTGTGTAAAGATGCGCATACAGATGGATGGCCAGGTAGCCATCGTTATACTTTCTGCACGTAATCATGCCAAAATTACAAAAGCGTTAAAAAACTTTGGTCGTTAGACTTTCCGGTTTTACAGTAACGTTACAAACCCCAGGGGAGAGTGCAACTCCATCGGGTGGCGTTTTGTTTGTCAAAATCTCTGGGTATCCATCCCGCGATGCTCTAAGAACTGTGTTATGATGTAGTTGCCATCCAAGCATTCAGCAATTTCTTAGGACTTTGATTAGGAAATTCATCAACGGTGTCGCCGCGTGTGTATGTGTTTGTGTGTGTGTGTGTGTGTGTGTGTGTGTGTGTGTGTGTGTGTGTGTGTGTGTATGTGTGTGTGTATGTATGTTGCTGTTGCACAGGTAACGACACTCTCTTCGCCCATACACTTGCCAGCCAGCACGCTACGAGTAGCCGTACCGTGTGAAGTCGGGCAGATACCCGTGTCACGCGGCGTGATCGCCACCCTAGCCATGTCTCCGGAGTCACCAGTCAAGCAATTCACTCCGCAGGAGCCGAGCTTTGGTCGCACACCACGGCCTGTTAGCCTGCCCGCAGTACCCTCAGCCACCAGACACACAGAAGATTTGTTTCATTCGCAACTGCGTGATCTGCGTAAGCTGAACTCGTATGCCGTAGATGGTATAGTGTGCATGCACGAGCTGGCCATACTGGGTGAACCGAGCGGCTCAGGGCTTGCTCAGTCGCCGCTCCATCCCATGACACCACATGCATCGCATGGCAACATCCCACAGGCAGCTTATCTCAGTGGTGGGGGCAGTGGTGCTACCGAGCAAGGTCGTCATTTCTATCAGAGACCTGGAGGTGGACCGCAATCGCTCTACGCTGGCACGGCGTCAGGTGAGCCTCACAAACGCGTACCCACCGCCGGCTCCAACACGCCAGCTTGTTCTGTGGTGCTAGCGGCGTGCAGCAACGGACACAAACTGCCCATATCTGTAATCGCACGGTTTCAGCGACCGGCCAGTGCCAGCAGACATGTCCTACCCAGCAGTGATGGTACAGTCTCTTCGGACAACATATGGTACATGCTGCAGAGTATATTTCTGCCGTCGACTCGACGTAATGATCCACGTCGGCTGCTCATCCTGCCGCAGCACTGGGCGGTGAAGATGAAGGACGAACATCGCAAGTTTGTGGCAGAGTCGTGCAAAAGCGATGTGATGTTTGCGCCTTGCAGCGTTGATCCATTTGCCCGTGCTGAGACCGGCAGCATAGCTCAGGAGTTCCTGGACGTCTTTTCAGACAGCTCGACGAGCCTGGATATGACTGCACTCGCGGGTCATTCATCCCCGACCCTGGGGCATAGCTCCCCACCCTACGCATCCCGGGTTGGGTCCGTTCAACATGACACGGCTGTCTCTCAACTACTGGATGCTGTGACGGCAGCGTGGGATGGCTGCAGTAGTCGGCGTATACAAGATTCGTTCCGAAATTGTGGTATCTAGAGTTTTGTGCAGCTAGATTTGTCTACCAGTGGAAAACGTTTGCTAATCTGCCAGAATAAGTTTGGCAAGATGTTCCAAGTAAAGTAGATGTGAAAGATTGCACAACAGATTAGTTTCATGTGCAGACTTCAAATACTTTCAGTGCATTCGTATCTCTCTGATTCACTCACTCTCTCACTCACTCTCTCTCACACTCCCCCTCTCTCTCTCACACACACTCTCTCTCTGTCTGCCTCTGTCTCTCTCAGTCTGTCTCTCTCTCTCTCTCTCTCTGTCTCTCTCTCTCTCTCTCTCTCTCTCTCTCTCTCTCTCTCTGTCTCCCTCTCTCTCTCTCTCCCTGTCTCTCTCTCTGTCTCTTTGTCAAATCTCTGTCTATCTCTCTCTCTCCCTCCCTCTCTGTCTCTCTCTGTCTCTCTGTCTGTCTCTCTCTCCCCCCCTCTCTCTCTCCCCTCTCTCACACACAAAAACACACACACACACACACACTCGCGCGGTCTCGCTCCCTGATTTTGCGTGTCAAGAATTGCTTCGTATCAACTTTTCTTTTCAGATAATCCATAGTGTTTTTGTCAAGGTTATGTAGGTTGAGACCAATATTATAGTAATATATTGCGGAGAATTATTGCAATGGATCTTGCCATCCAACTAATTTAACTAATTATTTGTATTCACCTATACCTTGTGGAGGACATATTTCAGAAATATCATTGTGTTTGACATTTTTCCTATTGCAACTTCTTATTATTTGGCACTATAATAATTATTATGATGTACTTTGGTTTCACAGGCAGCCTGTGTGGTCCCGTGTACAGTCCAATATCTGTGACGTGCAACATGGTACTGTTTTATTGCTCTCTCGGCTCTGTTTCCACGACAACGGCAACAACTGACAAATTAGAACAGTGGAACGGTAGCACGTTTAGCCGTGTTTCTAGTCTTTAGTTTTAGCATTGTCTGTGTCACCTTTTGTCAAGCAACATGATGAAATTACGGTAGATCATAATTCTATTGACTATTTAACTTTCCCTAGGAAACAAATCAGATTGCGAAAGCATATTATAGAGGTAGTTCTTTCCAAAATGAACGTGTCCTTCTTGCTAAGAGCATCGTTGTCAGGAAATGAAGTGGTTTGGTTTCGTTTTATCCAGCATGCTATGTTGTCCCCGTGTTGGCCTGTGATAAAAGCGCGAGTCAGTTAGTACATTGTAGTTTGATTGCATGCGTGTTCACTATGTGATCATGCCTCTGGATATATGTTCACTATCAGGTGCCCACGCAGTCAAACCATACAGTGGTGAACAGGAAAATGGAATAAAAACATTTTGTATCCATGTGGCACGGTCGTTGTGCGATGATTTGAACAACAGGTGAACACTTTGAACACATAATATGTCTTTTCACTGCATCTATTTGAAGTACATGTACATATACAATCATGTAGATGTTTGCAATGTGCTATAATTGAAGTGCTGCACCAGCGTGTTGCATTGTTAGTGTCTTTGAATAGTATGCGTATGATCAAGTATTTGTTCACGTATATTTTTCCCTTTTTCGTTTTTGGTTTTGCTTTCTTTCACCTTCTCTCCCCTTCTCTTATGGTATCATGTCTAACATTGGGTGTCGCCCAAGCGAAGGCTAGGCTAACGCCGATGCCAACGCGAAAGGGCTGATGATGATGATGTTTGAGTGCTGTGTTAATGTACATCTATTCTACGTACATCATGTTGAACTGAAATACTTGAGAGGCCTTGGGCAAGTTATTTTTCTAATCAGAGTGTCTACGTCTAACAAGCCCCAACACACACACACACACACACACACACACACACACACACACACACGCACACACACACACACACACACACACACACACACACACACACACAGCCATGTTTGCACATGCATAGACATCCAACTCAGACATCATGTACTTATATGCCCCATACCCAACACCACACCTGCAACATTTCCTTAGGCAATGCAAAAATACAGCAACTTCTTGGTAAATGCAAGATGTGTATGGATGTATCAGTGTGCGCTGCAGGATGCTTTGTGCGCTAGCAAAGAAATGGTGATCCAGTGTCCCATCCCCCACTCTCCATTATCCACCCAATCACCCAAAATCCATGTAAAAAGCCATGAGCCCTGATCCAATACATAAGCACACTGGAGCAGTGAGAATTTAAAATAATACTTAATTTCTTCAATATTTGAAGACTTTAGTACAGCAATGCACACATGTATAGATGGTAGTATCGCAGATGTGGGAACTTCACTCTTCTTTCTAGCCACAATACCATCTGATATGCTGGTAGAGCGAATTTACCTTTTCGCGTTAGTGCCTCGCATGCATTTCCCAACATGTAACTTGCTGGAAACAAAGAGACTTTTCCAATATGTTATGAGTGCAAGATGGGTGGATGTGTCTGCATTAAATGGGATCTATAATTCCTACTAGCTGTGTTGAAAGCTTTGCTTGAATGAGTGAGTGCCTCCTTATATCCTACTACTCCAACTTGGATTCAGGTTGGGCTCGTTGCACTGCAAAGTGTGAAAGAGCCTAATCTTTTGGTCGATTTAGCTGCTCTTGTCCCGCCTCCACTGCTTCGGCTGCCATCGCTATGTGCGTATCTATACGTGTTTGCCGGCGTTTGGACCATGATGGTTTGTGGTGATCTTGTAAAAAAATCCCCCGTCGAATTTTTTTTGGAAAAAAAAATTAAAAAACTCTAGTTTGTTTTGTAGGGCATGCATCCACAAGTACGGTTACATGCAGTGGTGGAGAGTGAAATCCAAACTCATGGGTGGTGCCTAGCCGTATTCCCTGCACAGGCTAGTCTCCGTAGTACTGGGGACATGCAGCTAGAGGCCTGAAATAATCATGCTGCTGGATTTCACTGTGGTCGGTCACGCTGCAGTGTGTAGCTAGAACTTACAGATAATCATAATACCATCAGAACACCATCAGAGTTTGATACTTTTTCAGGCACGCTCATGCATGGACGGTGTGTGCATTAGGAATATGAGCCTGATTTGAGGCTTTTCCCGGTGTGCGTTTTGTATGCCTTTGCAACACCGCCAAAACATTTCTTTCAGAATCTGCAGATTCTCTAGCATCGACTGCTAATGCGAAACTGTGGTTCAAACTTACCGGTAACGCTGATCCTCATGCTCTGTGATCCGGTTCCCAGGTAGTTTGTGGCGTGGCAGGAGTAGTCACCGGCGTGGTTCACGACAACTTCAGCCATCGCCTAAACAGTACACACACACACACATCACGTAAAAGGAATGAAAATTGCGATCTACACACAACCTGCCTGCGAGCATACACAAATGATGCAAATGGCTGTCAGGTAAAAGCCGAGGCATTTGAAGTGGACTTTTCTTCGCCACAATCGTAGTCTGGTATTGTTTCCGGGGATGTGTGTGTGTGGGAGGGGGGGGGGGGGTGCTGGCAGAGTGGGAGCTGAATGGTTGTAATGAGCTGTTGCCAGTCAATGAAGAAGAGACGCTGAAGAAAGTTGAACTTTCAAGGAAACCTGTCAGCACTGTGTGTGTGTGGTGGGGGGGGGGGGGGGTATGCAACTGCTCTTCACCCCCCACCCCCCTCCCCTGTATGCATAGCTGCATCACAGCTATGCTTCCCTGCTCCAGAAGAGTGTGGGGGCTTGGCAATGAATGAAGCTGCTAAGTCGGTCTGTCGGCTGAGCTGGGTGCACTACACTGGCACAGCCACCACAGTTCATGGTGACTCCTACCATTTCATGTCGCTGATCGTTCCTGCTTCTTGTCAAATTCTTCCTTGGTAGGGTTGTGTTCAATGTAAAAAAAAGAAAAAAGGAAAAGAAAGGAGAAGCCTCCCTTACCTGGGTGTCACTGCTCATGACCGCTCGCCGTGGCTGCATGGGAATGCCGTTGCTTAGCCACTGCACCGTGGGCAGGGGAACACCCGTAGCTTGACATGTCAACACGGCACTATAGCCGTTCTTCTGCGCGTTGATAACGATACTCGGTGCACCTAGTGAAGACATGAGGTAGCAGACTCGGTGAGACCTATCCTATGATTGGAACAGCGCTGCCTTTTCACCAACATTGCCATCACACCAGAACCTCCTTTTCAACAACATTGCAATTGCACCGGACTCCAGAAGACCTTTCCTATCATCACAATTGAACCACCTTTCAACAACACTGCCATTACACCAGAATCTTTGCAACATTGCTTCAATTTGGCATCAGATTTGAATGGACTCCCTCCGCTGTGGAGAATGTTCGGTGCTAGGTTCAGCATGTGCTCTTGGATTTCAACCCAACCGGGTACACGTGTACCTGACACAGCTCTTCCAACCGGGTCAGAGCCGGATACATATATGTGCAGCTACCGTACATTCATCATCATCATCTGAGTGGCCGAAAAAATAAAAAAATAATAGTACTCAAGTAAAATAAAATAATAAACGGCATTATGCAGCTGTGTAAGCAGTAGATGCACAGTGTGACTGCCAGGCATCTCTGTCAGATGCCAACTGGCAATTCTCATGCAGAGACATACCAGTACATTATGGAGCCGTAATTATCTTACGACTCCCTGATTGAGCCCCAACTTCTTCGCAATAGATCCGGTGTTCTTTTCCCAAATGGGTCAAAGTTCCCCGAACCGGATCACTGACCCGGCTCTGGAGCAGACACTGAGGTTGGTGACATAACCATGTGGATAACCAAAGGGTGGTTAAATACGACGTGCTATAATTTTCAAGCTGGCGAACATGCTGGGCCGTACGAATACCAGTGCCTCTCGGAGATGTTTTTCAACTGGAATTGACTCAAAAATTTCACCCAAAAGGCAAAACACAGCCTAAGCCGACTTGTAGATTGCTCGAAAATGTTTTTTTTTAATTGAACTCAATCACTCACTGTGAACGTCGAGCTTGACAATACCACGAGCAACGCCGGCCGGCAGCTTGACTTCCACCTTGTAGACACCGGCGTCCGTGAGCTTTGGAGTCGGGATCTGCAATCCCAGGCCGTTCTGTGTAGGCTGGATGTGTGGTGGAAGAGGATAGTCCTGCCGCGCCCTATAGCAGAGGATGATTTGAAACAGTCATAACAACAAATAATGACATCATAGAAAAGAATGAATGACATCATTGAAAAGAAAGCGTGACATCAGAAGACAAAACTAGGACATTATAAAGGAGCCGTGACATAATACCATAGCCCGTGGCTTCCCAGCAAAGCATTGGGCGTCCATGATGATAAATACGCATCCAGTTGACAGAGACACTCAAAAGATGGAACCATATAATTATGTATTCATGCTGCTGGGTCACTTTTCGGCATTTCAATTCACTACTAGTGGTTGATGCAAACATTTGCATTGATAAACCTTTCCAACAGACCCTGACCTCCCTCTGATACAGGTTTACTGAAACAGCACAGTAAAACCTTTGTAAAATCACTCTCATAGCCCAATCGGCATCTGGTTTTGTTTTTGTTTTTTTGGTTTTTTTAATTATTTCAGTTCATTGCCTCCACAGAACATATTAAGAGGGGCGAACGAAAGAGAAAACATCTGCCCTTGAAAACTACCGGGAACATGACGAGAGAGTCTCTTTTCAGTCATTTAACCCTGGATAAGCGAACCATCTGTTTGGTTCGACCAAATGTAGAGGTCGCCCGAGCTTGGGTTTGCTTGGGTTTACTTGGGTTTGTAAGGGTTTGCTTGGGTTTGCTTGGGTTTGTTTGGGTTTGCTTGGGTTTGTGTGGGTTTGTTTGGGTTTGCTTGGGCTAGCTAAACCGTACCTGAAGACTGACCATCGACTTGTGTACACTGGCAGTTTGGGGTAGATTTCTGTCTGCAGATAGAAAGTGAGTGGACGATCGGCCACGGCAATAACTGGCTCCTGAATGGTCAGATCCGGCAGATCTGAGGAAGTAAGTGCGAAAATATAGCACAGAGAAGAACAATGCATATAAGGTCTTCCTGTTTAAATCTAAAGAAGAAAATTATGGAAAATTCCGTTTTCTGATGATCGCTTGAATGCGTGAAACCTTATAAAGGTTACAGAAAGCACACCCTTGCCTCCGGGGTGTGTGTGTGTGTGTGTGTGTGTGTGTGTGTGTGTGTGTGTGTATGTTTGCATGTGCATGCATGCGTGCGTGCATGTGTGTGTGTGTGTGTGTGTGTGTGTGTGCGTGTGTGTGTGTGTGTGTGTGTGTGTGTGTGTGTGTGTGTGTGTGTGTGTGTGTGTGTGTGTGTGTGTGTGTGTGTGTGTGTGTGTGCGTGTGCGTGCGCCCATGTGAGTGTGTATTCCTCTGCACATTGGTGTATTGAGCAGTCCTTTGAAGCTGCTTCGATTAATTCTGCTTTGTAAGTTGTAATCCAAATACGGACCGGGAAGGCATTGTCCAGTTGCCTTACTGTGTATAGTCAGGGTCACTTGTGCTGAGCTGGTCTGGAACTTCTGGTTGGCAATGCGTGGATTGTACGCATCACATATATACACGCCAGTATCCTCGCCTCGGGGCTGTCGGAATGCCAGAACGTTGCCTGAAGGTCAACAATAGCAAACATGATAACCTGGTTATGGACAGCAACTTGCATGGCACCCAGCGGGAATCAAAGCCTCCCAATGTACACCTGAGAGCAATAATAATGATAATGCACTGGTGCACAACACAACACTAACATGACAGGGGCATTGGAACAGGTGCGGCACGTGCGGCCAAAGCGGCACTAACCATTTCATCTTGTGACTTTTAGATCAATGAAATAATGGGCCATATGGCAAACCCATCCCTCTGCAATGTGTTGGCTTCCTTTATACTTGCTGGACTGATTTGATATAATTCTGGACTGATTTGAATCACAATTATCTTCTTTATTGGCCATGGGCCATTGTGGAAATGAAGAATACTACTAATACTACTAAAACCCACCTGTTGAGAATGCACGTTGGCTAATCATCCTGCCGTCTGCACGTCTCCATGAGTACTGGATAGGTGGTTGGCCAGTGGCATTGCATACAAACCTGACTAGGCGTGGGTCGCCCTCCAGCGCCGTGATCTGCTGGGGATACGCCGTGGCCATCGGAGCATCTGTACACCACGCCATGCACACACGCACACACAAAATACACGCACACACAAAATACACACACACACAAAATACACACACACACACATACATACACACACACACATACATACACACACACACAAAGATACACACACAAGTACACACACAAGTACACACACACAAGTACACACACATGCAACAGCAGCACAATACTTGTTTAGCATTTTCATTTTAGTTCTCGTTGCGCTACATGTACCTCCATGTTTCAGAATCTGACATTCAGACATTTTGTGCTTGGCCTTAAAGACGTTTAACTATTGGTACATCTACAATGAAGCCTCTTTCCTTCATGTCTTTTCAGGATACAGTGCCACTAAAACAGAACAAGGTACAAAAGTGACATGGACTGCAGGTGGAATGAATGCACTAGGCAGCCAGTTTGGTTTCACCTTCTGCGGTTTCCAGCGCAAATGTTACCTAGTCAATGCTTGTTAGGCCAGGGGGGGGGGGGGGGGCAGTAACTATGAGGTGTAAATAGGAGATAGAAGAGCTATACATTTATTTATTTATTTATTTTTGTTCACAATCACGTGGCACTAGCCAATGAAAGGATGATGTGGGTGATAGCCAGCCATGGCGGAAATAGAGGGGAGAAAGTACAAATGAAAGGGAAACTGAAATGTAAGAGAAGCGCATACACAACTGAGCTGCTCATACCTTGCACAAACACGCTGACACTGCCTCTGACTTGTGCCAGGTAGTTAGCAGCTGTACACACGTAGACGCCGGGACGGCTGACAGTTACCGTGGCAACTATGGCGTTTGCGTTCGTCGGGTCGAGCTGCAGCGGAAACGCCAGCTCGTTGCCGACCGGGTCCAGCCACTTCACTGTGGCAACGGGATTGGCCGTCACGTGACAGTGCAGCTGGGCCGTGTGACTTCGACTGATGTGTACCTCTTCATACGGTGTTATCTGTATTACAGGGGTTACTGCATTACACCCGTTAGGAGAAGCAGAAAGAAAGAGAAAAAAACAGCTGGATGCAAAAATGAACTCAATCCCTAGCATAAGGCTCAATGAGGTCGTGTATTTGTACAAATTTCCAAGGGATCCAATGGTCAAACTCCACCTACTCACCTAGTTGACAGCTCTTGTAGTAGTCATGAAGGGCAGCATCATTACTGCTTATGCTAACATAGGCAAAACATGTTCCGTCGTCCATCGTTTTTAATTTGTTTATTCTTTTTTCCATCGTCAGACTTTTGGTCATGCAGTTTCACGTGGCTTTCATTCAGCAGCCTTACAGAGGAATCAGTGTAATGCAGTGGTGCTGGCTATTGTCACTTACCGGGCTGACAGCTCTTGTAGTAATCGTGAAGCACGTTACCGAGCTGCACCAGCTCCCCGGCGCAATGTCCTTGATTCTGCCGATGATCCGCGGCCATCTCCTCCTGCAACTGAGTGTAGGAGTGCATACACTGCGGATTAAGCTCGGCGGCCAAATGACAACTGTCCATATACTTGTAGCCGATCAGGCGAACATCGCGGATGTGCTCCTCACTGAGACCCTCAAAGTGTGCTCGAATGCGGTCGCTCGTGGTGAGGTTCAGTGCCGGCGAGAGTTTTATCGAGCATATCAGGTTGGCATCGCATTCGAACTGCGGATCGCCGAGGGCAAGAAGCTCTATGCCTTTCTTGTCGTCGAAGAGCTTGAAACCGGCCATGGAAGGCTCCGCAATGATCATCGGGTTCATGCGGAGCATGGCCATGCGTGAGAAGAGACCCGACTGGGGAACGATGAAGCGAGCGTGCACGCCAGGCATTCCGCTATCCGTCATGGCACCCTGACGGGACACGGGCGGAACGGGAGACGCGCAGTTCCTTGTGAAGCGGTCGAACGTGGCCCGCATGCCCCCGCAGCTCTCGCGCACGTGCGCGCTCACGCGGAAAGAGATGTTGCGCGCTCCGCCGCTCCCGAACACGGCACCCACTTTGGCTATGACCGCAAACCCGATATCCTCCCCGGCCAGTGCCCGTAACGAGACCTGGGTTTGAAGCACACAACAACAACAAACAAATCGACAAAGAGTGATGAGAACAGGTCTCAGGAAAATAGCCAGATTGTAGTGATGTAATCATGTACACATGTATAGTGTGCGCATGCGTGCATGCTTGCAGCAGAGCACTCGCAGAGCTTGAAGACGAAGCCTGCAATGGCTACCTCCAGACTTGTATTGTTGTAGTGTCGTCCATCTACATGATGACTGCTATCCTCATAGATCCCGTCCAGATAGTGCTTCGTCGCTAGCTATCCTCCCGTATTGTGTACATACACATGACACAAAAAAATCACGGCTCGCGTGAGACTCGGCTGGAAGCCGAGTTTTCCGCATCCGTCCGTAGGAACGCCACCACCCGCTAGGATCAAGGCGCAGATGCAGTGCCTAAACGGATGACATGTGGCCTCTAAATTCCGAATACTTTGAAATTCTCCGTGAAGTCCAAATCAGAAAGTGCAATGTCGTCTTGCAATAATGAGAATAGTCTTTCTATCAGCTGTTTAGCGTTTGTCACAGAGTCACTGGCATACTCTTCTTCTCAAACTGCAATGAGAGAGGATAGTGGTGCGATATGTGACAAGCTACAGTTTATGCTGAGACGGGCACTATCAATGCTGTATTTCTCACCTTCACAGACACGATTCCAGTCTCCGCCTCGATCATGAAGTACGTATCAGCATTACAGCGCACTGCAGCCCAGCAGCCCAGAACCCACACGATGGGAACTTTCAATGCAGTTCCGCTGGCCCGGAACTGCGTGACTACATCACCTGAAGTACGGCAGAGAATGAGAAGAGATACTACAGTAAAACCTGTAACTAAAGACCACCGTGACAAGCAACCAGCCTGGTACTACAGTAAAACCTGTAACTAAAGACCACCGTGACTAGCAACCAGCCTGGTACATGTACTACAGACCACTTCGCCAGGCACGAACAGTCTCACGTTCACTATGGTTGTGCGGTGCAAACCTCTAAGGATCACCTGCCACTAAAGACCGCATTCTCTGGCCCCAAGGGGTGGTCGCTAGTCACAGGGTTTACTGTAGTAGCAAGCAACAAGGATACTCTTAGTTTATTTTAATTATAAAAATTTGATGTGAATTTTTTTGGTTTGGGTTTGAAATTCTATATTTTACACATACATTTTTCTCATTTCTCCTCCAGTGTATGATTTATTGCATTTACAAGAAGGCTATATACCTGCTTTATGCAGGTTGATGCCAACGCGAACAAGCAAAATAATAATAATAAAACCATTGTGTTAATTTGCCCGTAAAAGAGGCCTGTCTACAAGGATACTCTTACTCTGTCCTTTGTGCTGCTACACACACTGATGTTACACCACGGTGGGACTATTTGAAATTTCACTAGCTGTTTTCATGTGAGTCTGCCAAAGAGGGAGTGCTCATTTCTAGTACAAGCCGTGTTCTCTGGGGGAGTGCTTGGGGAGAGTGCTTAGTGCGAATGCCTAGGGTGAGTGCCTAGGGCGAGCGTCTAGGGCGAGTGCTTAGCGCGAGTACCTAGGGAGAGTGCTTAGCGCGAGTGCTTAGGGAGAGTGCATAGCGCGAGTGCTTAGCGTGAGTGCCTAGGGAGAGTGCTTAGCGCAAGTGCGTAGGGAGAATGCTTAGCGCGAGTGCCTAGGGAGAGTGCTTAGCGCGAGTGCCTAGCGCAAGTGCTTAGTGCGAGTGTCTAGGGCAAGTGCTTAATTCGAGTGCCTAGGGCGAGTGCCCAGGTTAAGCACCTAGGGTGAGTGCTAGCAATATCCACTGTAGAACACGGCCACAACTGACGGCTCCACATCAGGTTGCGGGATCAGGGTTGTGACAGCTGACCGCGCTGCATCACCTGCTGCACCGCCAGCTCAGGCGCGTAGCACCATCGTTGGAGGTGGTCTGGCCGGGGGGGGGGGGGGGGGTGGTGGTCCGGGTGTCTCCCGCAGGAAATATTCCAAATTAGGGTGCAAATCCTGCATTCTGGGCACTTTCGGGGCGAAAAAGTGGTCCGCCCAAAGCCGGACCGGCCGGACCAGCTTCTACGCCCCTGCAGCTGCTGGTCAGGACTTAGCTTGGTTTACGTGCCAGGCCCTGGCACTAGCAAACGTATAGAAGAGAGTGAGGGGACATGCGTCATGCGTCATGTCAATCAGGGTAGGCTAGTGTAGGCAGCGAGCTTGTTCACTGAAAGGTGTAGGTGAGGTGCTCCATCTCGCTACATGTTGAACTCGTGACTTTGGGGATTGCATGCCTGTGTGCTCAGAGCATCAGGAGACTTGACTGCGCCTTCAAACAGAATGCAGTACACAAGGGTGTCTTAAACTACTACGCCATTGTCTTTGTGACTATGACCTCGCCATTACCTGGATTAACTTGATTCGACACGACCAAGTTTCGAGCAGGTAGTGGATGCACGCCCGCCTGTCGTATATCCACTACATTGACACCGATGGTGGCGGTAACCTCCCTGGGTGGTACACCGCGATCACGAGCCAGCAGCTGCAGCCGATAGTGCCCGGTGACGATGTGACGAGCGCCTTGACTGCGATGCTGCAGTCTGACCTGCAGAAGTACACAGTGATAATTATCATTATGATGTCACAACATACTATAGCCATGCTGTCATGGCAACCACGTGGTCTCCCCTTCGCAACATCGACAGGCTGCTCGGATTCATCAGAAGTGTATGGTGACATCAGCATGACGTCATGACATAACCATGTTGTGATGGCAACCATGTGGGTACTCATCCCCATGACACCTAATAACGAGAGAGCTTGGAAGCTCAGGGCCCTACGCTATGCTTTTTTGCCTTGATGCCCTAGACAAAAAAAAAGCATATTCTTTAAAAAATTCCTTTTTTTTAGACATAACCTGGGATTCGAACCCGCACTATCGCGCGCCCTGCATTCATCCCCCGATGCACTTCGCATACATACTAATTCTTCCAAGTTGTTTCACATTGTGATCTTGCATTTGAAGGCCCTATTTGAGTTATATGCATTGTGGCCAGCCGTCTTTGATGGCACGGTACGGTAGGGGATAGGGACGGGACAGGTACGATCGAGGGTAATACGACACCGTCTCCCGTACCGTACCGTACCATCAAACACAGCTGGCCACATACATCTTCCCGCAATATTCAAATAGGGCTTTCAAACGCAAGATAATAACGTAACGCAACTTGGAAGAATGGGTATGAATGCGAAGTGTATGGGGGAATGCATGTAGGGCGATAGTGCGGGTTCGAATCCCAGGATATGCCTGAAAAAAAGGAGAATTGAAAAATTTATAACATCCTAACATCCTATGCTTTTTTGCCGTCAGATACGGATAGCGCCAGGCGTGACACAAACAAACACACAAACAAACACCAAATTAAAGCTGTGTGGACCCTGGCTAGCGCCAGACGTTACTGAAGTAACGTCTTCTGCATAGCTACGGGAATAAAACTATTATTATAGTGTGGTTGAATGCAACACTGTTCATTTACACTCACAGCCAATAGCATTGCCACACAAAAGCTCCTTGAGGCAAAAATCAGAACTTTTTGGGACTCAGTCAACCAATGGTTGAGTGGGTTGATGAGAGAGTGGCTGAGTGAGCGAGTCACCCAGTCAGTCAGTGAGTCACCCAGTGAGTGAGTGAGTGAGCCAGTGAGTGAGTGAGTGAGTGAGTGAGTGAGTGAGTGAGTGAGTGAGTGAGTGAGTGAGTGAGTGACAGAGTGACTGAGCGAGTGAGTGAGTGAGTGAGGAAGTGAGTGACAGAGTGAGTGAGGGAGTAAGCGAGTGAGTGAGTGAGTGAGGGAGTGAGTGAGTGAGTGACAGAGTGAGTGAGGGAGTGAGGGAGTGAGGGAGTGAGTGAGTGAGGGAGTGATTGAGTGAGTGAGTGAGTGAGTGAGGGAGGGAGTGAGTGAGTGACAGAGTGAGTGAGTGAGTGATTGAGGGAGGGAGTGAGGGAATGAGTGAGGGAGTGAGTGAGGGAGTAAGCGAGTGAGTGAGTTTGAGCCAGTGGGTTAGCTAGTGAGAGACGCATAATCATGAATGACACCGGAAAAGTAAGGGATTCAGTCAGTCATGCAGGCAGTTAGCGAGTAGGTACATCAGTAAAGGATGCCGAGGGAGGGCATGAGCGAATGAGCAAGATGTGAGAAGGACACCGTTTGTGGGATAAACAAGCCAAAGTTCAGGTGCAGGAAGCACACTTTTAAACAGTGTTTGAAACTTTGCTCCGCTTAGACTCCACTTAGGAGCTGCATCTGCGCCCTGATCCAAGAGGGTGGTGGCGTTCCTGCAGATGCGGAAAACTGGGCCTTTGTTTCTTTGTTTGTTTCTCTTTTACTTCACCAGATACACATGTGTTTCTACCTTCTCATCTAACCATACTACGCCTAGACTGTCAATGGCAGATCATGTTTTAACTGAGCTTAATGGGCCCCACCACCACACTCCATTATTCACCCCAACGTCTGGAGATATGCGGATTTTGTAGCGGGAAAAAAAAGAAGAAGAAACACATACCAGCTGTGTAGAGGTAGACTGGCTGGTGTCGATGAAGAAGAAGCGTCTTGTCTGCGCTGACGTGTTCCTTGCGAACGCCACATCAACGTGGCTGCACGGTGTACCGCCCGTGTCGCCATCGTGGATGTGAAGGTCGATGTTGGCCAGGCTCATCCTCTGGAAAGCGTCCGCCAAGATCAGCCACTCAACGTGAACTGGGCTCAAGGTCGGGCTGAAGTCATTCGCACAGTCTGTGATCAAGAATGCACAGCAGAGGCAACAGGGCATCGACATTAGTGAGATTTTGCTCCACATGAAACGGGGAGAAATCGCGTAGAGAAAAGGTGTCTAGGCTAGAAACTACAACTTCGTGTGTTTTGGGTTCATATTTCTATTAAAGTGTAGATGAGACTACAGCAAAACCTGACAAGGTGACCACTCTGATAATGCGACCACCTGTCCCAGAAGGCTACTGCAGCCAGGACCAAGGGATGCTATTTGCAGTCAATTGGCACTGGATAAGGAGACCACCTGGTTACAGAGATCACACTTTGAAGGTCGGTTGAGCAGTCGTCTTAGACAGGTTCCACTGTATCTTCATTGTGGGCACAAGGAAAGAAAGAAAGAAAGAAAGGCAGAGAGAGAGAGAGAGAAAGAGAGAGATAAAGAGAGAGAGAGAGAGAGAGAGAGAGAGAGAGAGAAAGAGAGAGAGAGAGAGAGAGAGAGAGAGAGAGAGAAAGAGAGAGAGAGAGAGAGAGAGAGTGTGTGTGTGTGTGTGTGTGTGTGTGTGTGTGTGTGTGTGTGTGTGTGTGTGTGTGTGTGTGTGTGTGTGTGTGTGTGTGTGTGTGTGTGTGTGTGTGTGTGTGTGTGTGTGTGTGTGTGTGTGTGTGTGTGTGTGTGTGTGTGTGTGTGTGTGTGTGTGTGTGTGTGAAAAATGAAAAAGACCAAAAATAGGGATTCACTGGCCAGAAAAATCACTTCAAATAGCTGTATGGTGTAGACCAGGCTGAATAGTGACGGTCAATTCTTCAGCCTTGCAAACTGTTGAATGGTGCAATCCCAGCACAAGTTGCTATGGCTTCTGCCGTAGCATTGCTATCATCGCCTCTGGCGATGGGCGTCAAAGGTCAAAGGTCAAAGGTGTGTGTGTGTGTGTGTGTGTGTGTGTGTGTGTGTGTGTGTGTGTGTGTGTGTGTGTGTGTGTGTGCCATATGGTGCAGTGGTATGTGCAGCGATTTCCAATCGATAGGTTGCGGGTTCGATTCCCGACGATTATGGTCACACACGTCTTTCTTCTCTTTCTCAGACTCTTCCTGACTTTCCTTTCATTCTCCTGGGTGGTTACCAACAGCCAGTGCATGCCGGAGTATGTGGTGTGATGTGTGTGCGGGAAAAACAGAAAAAAAGAAAGAAAAAAAGACCAAAAAACAAAAAAACAAAAACAAAAAAAACAAAAAAACAAAATAGGGATTCACTGGCCAGAAAAAGTCACTTCAAATAGCTGTTTGGTGTAGACCAGGCTGAATAGTGACGGTCAATTCTTCAGCCTTGCAAGCTGTTGAATGGTGCAATCCCAGCACAAGTTGCTATGGCTTCTGCCGTAGCATTGCTATCATCGCCTCCGGCGATGGGCGTCAAAGGTCAAAGGTGTGTGTGTGTGTGTGTGTGTGTGTGTGTGTGTGTGTGTGTGTGTGTGTGTGTGTGTGTGTGTGTGTGTGTGTGTGTGAGTTGTTTGATACTTACTCAAGCAATGCACGTCAGCTGGAGATCCTGGATGGTTGGTGCAGGTGCACTGTGTACTGCCCACAGCACTGTAGCTGTTCACTGGACACGGTATGCACATGCGCTGTCCCGCCCCTGGCTGGTGCGTGCCCTGCGGGCAAGGGTTGCAGCTGGCCCGGGACGATCCTCCCGGGCCGTACTCCACGTGGATGTAGGCACCTGGCTGGCACGCTGTAAGCATGTGGAGTGGGTGAACACAGGACAGGATTGATGGGTACGGGACATGGTGGGATACACGGCAGGGTGGGGTACAGGGCAGGATTGGGTACCAGGTGGGTTGGGTACAGGGCAGGGTTGGGTACAGGGCAGGATGGGTTACAGGACAGGGTGGAGTACAGGGCAGGTTGGGGTACAGGACATGGTGGGTTACAGGGCGGGTTGGGTACAGAGCAGGGTTGGGTACAGGGCAGGGTGGGGTACAGGGCAGGGCGGGGTACAGGGCAGGATGGGTTACGGGACAGGGTGGGTTACAGGACAGGATGGGGTACAGGCCAGGGTTGGTACAAACGGGATCGGTGGGTACAGTGCAGGGTGGGGTACTGGACAGGGTGGGGAGGTTACAGGACGGGGTGGGAGTGTACAGGACAGGGTGGGTATAACACAGGATTGGTGGATGCACGACACTGTGGACAAAGGACAGAATTAGTAAGCACAGGACAGTCAAATTGCACCTACACGTACATACAGGTGATTGATATGTGCATGACATTGTGCAGCTGTGCATAACACACTTGTGCAACATCATTCCCAGCTTGACCTACAGCGGAATGTGCATACTTTTGAAATTGCCTCAGCCGATACTTTCTTGGCTTACAAAACACTGTCATGACACAAAGGCACACCGATGCGGCACTGGACGCTGGACCACTCTGGATGTCGGCTCGACTGTAACGTTTCCAAGCTAGGCACCTCAGTCCCCAACTCTGTACAGGACGGCTACAAATCGGCACCAAAGGTTCAATAATGCAAAGTATACTACAGTGCTGCTCAATGAAATCCGGTCGTATGAGTCAGGTTTTTTTTTTAATTATTGCAACATCTCAAGACTCAGTTCAAACACCAGCCAATGTGAACAGAGCGGGTGATAGCGGGATTTGGCGGGTGATAGCCAAACTCTGTGCTCTCTACCAGTTCATGTCCCATTGTTCGCAGGTCTTGGACGGCTGCACAGAGCCGGCATGGCATTCACTCGCCTAATCTGATTTCATTGAGCAGCACTCTAGTACTTGGGTGCTGTGTGTGTAGCTGTTCAATACGAATACAAAACTACTGCAGGGCCGGGCTGCATGAGCCATGGCGCTCTTTCCGGCCCATGGGTAGGATTTCTTTGGCCATGACTGTACTATGGGATTTTGAGTACTGTCTTCCACGACCCTGCATAATACCACATGGTATTGTACCTGTCCTTTAACCTCGGTTATGCAGGACCTCAGTATAGATTTTAAGGCCCCTTGAAGGTACATGTACATTATACAGTCGACTCCACTTATAATGAACTCGCATAATTATAGCAAATTTCATGGTACTGTAAATATACAAAATTTCGGCGCTGCAAAATTTCGGCACTTCACGATTTTTGACATTTCGGCGGCGATTTATTTTCGGCGTGGGGTAGAGGGCATGCAGTGCTGCCAAATAATTTTCGACAAAAATCGGACACCCTTCACCGCCAAGGCTGGCCACATGGTGCGAATTTTTCTGCTCGGCAATTTTTTTACAGTGAATTCAAAATATCGCCTAAAACACCATGAAAATTCGCTTCGTTGCCATGGTAACCCCAGAGTTGTCATGAATTTTGTAATGATGAGTGTGGTCGCACATAATTGACTCTGTACAGCCTGTCAGCGTACATGCCATCCAGCCTGATCCAGGCATGTTACTTTGCACTTCCACAGCCAAGCGCTAGCCTTTTTACTTTTAGAAGCAAATGTACAGTGATTTGTGCCTTCAGACTGGGCTGAAAAGTGAAAGTACAGGACTTCTGCATAGGAAAGTAATGATCTCCGACATTTTGGCTGCTTTTCGGACGTTTCCCTTTTCGGACCAGTTTTCGGAAGAGCCTTCAAAAATCGGACACTGTCCGAAAAATCGGACGGTTTGGCAGCACTGGGCATGGTATAGTGCGACAGGTGCTGTGAAATTTCATCGGCGTTTTAATTTAGGTGTTTTGGGTCGGTGCCGAATATAGCCGAAATTAAATAGCTGCCGAAAATTTGTATATTTACAGAATAGCGAACCCTTGTCCATGTCCCTGTTTGAACCCATACAAACTTGATCCTTCATAGCAAACCGTTTTCGTTCATGTTCGAACCAAATATTGTAGGGCCGCATGTAAACCAAGTGCACTCAGACTGTCATGGGCCACTTGCCAGTCATGACTTGCTGCTTGTATGGTGTGAGTGCATTTCTGTTATAACGAACTTTGGCTATAAAGAACTAATTCTAGTGCACAACGGTGTTCGTGATTATCAGGAGTCGACTGTAGTCTGTAGGACTAAAGTTTCACAGCCTGATTGTAGAGTCTACAGCGTAACTCTGTACTGTGTATGCTTGCATCATCATCCATCACTCACCGCCATGTACGCTGCGCACGAATACCACGCTGGCGATGAGAGCCACGAACGTCCAGGGGTTCTTAGTGGCCGCGAAGTGCAGTCCCAACACTGCCAGCACAAGCATCTCTCAAGAACCAGGCTGAGCTGGGAGCGCGAACCGTTTCTCTCAAACTGACGTGCAGTGAAATATTCCTGCTACCGGCTGAACTAAAAGTTTGGTGCTACTCTTACTGGAAAACACTATTTCACCAGTTTCTAGTATAAGACACAAGCGCAGCGCTGGCTCATGAACTCCGTTCTTTGCATGTAGGGCGCGCTGAAGCCTTGAGGGCTTCCATGAAAACTCGAAATATAACACGACAGGTCTTGGGTCCAGTTGGGAGTCAGGTATTGCAAAGTAGTTCAAGTCGTTTGCACCTCAGCCCAGGTCAGGAACAGCGCGCTGCATTTTCTAACCTGCGCTGCGCAACCAGGAGGTGTCAGTACAGTGTGACCTCTTGACCTTACGAAGGCACAAGCGCGTCGTGCGACGACTTGGCCATGCCCGCAGCCAATCATTCTGTAGGCAGCTAGAGGGAATAGAGCTTAGCAGTTGTGTAGATCTACAGTACTACGACTCCTAGATCCTGCCGGCGGTGCTGCTTTCTCTTTGTGTTGTTTTCACATTATTTTCAACGCGCTATCTTCACTTCAGTATTTACTGTTCAGGCTCGACACCTGCGCCTGCTTGATGAAAGTTACTTTGCGTTATCTCGCCACTTTCGCATTAGCGCGCCGGTACGGCGTTTAGGCATACCCACTGGTTGCTCCATAAGACCATGTTGTCGCTTGTCGCGCTACAAATGTACACATCTTCGGTGGTCGAACATTAGTTATCAGTTACTCTGCCGTCCCCGCTGAGTGACTGGCGTGGCGATAACGTGTGGAGCCCGATGCTAAACACTTCCTTGCTCTACGCACTTGGCGTGTGGCGAGTATTGGAATGATAAGTCAGATAAGAGAGGACATCATGCGGGAGTGGATAACATTGCATGCCTATTATGACGCGATTAAACGATCCTCCAGAGGACTTCCTGACGCAGAGCAAAGAACCTGGACGCAAAGGCTGGAGTTAGTGTTTTCGAGTGTAAGAAAGCACTGAAGTACATGTAACTAACTTGCTTCAAGTAACTAGTTGGCCGCCTAGCTGGCACGTGGAGATATCAAATAATGAGAGCGGCGAAGATCCATATCACTTACTAGTCAGCTGTCCAAACTTACTGATTTGTGAAGTTAGCTGGCATGCCGCCTACGTCCATGTACATCTCACGTACATAACGGGAGCGGGCATGCATACACCTAAGCCTAGGCTAAGGACCTTTTCTCCTTAGCGCAGCCACAAGTCGTTGATGCACCGGTTCCTCCCGCCGGTTTCGCTTTTTGTTCGACAATGGTTTGCCGCTATGCCGGCTGACATGCACCTCATTCACCCTTGCCTTGCAACTTGGCCTTGCACTAGGCCAGGTCTCTTGTCTTGAGTTTACACTGTACGTATACTTCTAGTACGAGTACAGTAAAACCTGTAACTAAAGGCCACCGTGACTAGCGACCAGCCTGGTACTACAGTAAAACCTGTAACTAAAGACCACCGTGACTAGCGACCAGCCTGGTACTACAGTAAAACCTGTAACTAAAGGCCACCGTGACTAGCGACCAGCCTGGTACTACAGTAAAACCTGTAACTAAAGGCCACCGTGACTAGCGACCAGCCTGGTACTACAGTAAAACCTATAACTAAAGGCCACCGTGACTAGCGACCAGCCTGGTACTACAGTAAAACCTGTAACTAAAGGCCACCGTGACCAGCGACCAGCCTGGTACTACAGTAAAACCTGTAACTAAAGGCCACCGTGACTAGTGACCAGCCTGATACTACAGTAAAACCTGTAACTAAAGACCACCGTGACTAGCGACCAGCCTGGTACTACAGTAAAACCTGTAACTAAAGGCCACCGTGACTAGCGACCAGCCTGGTACTACAGTAAAACCTGTAACTAAAGGCCACCGTGACTAGCGACCAGCCTGGTACTACAGAAAACCTGTAACTAAAGGCCACCGTGACTAGCGACCAGCCTGGTACTACAGATCACTTCCCGAGGCACGGACGGTCTCACATTCATGATGGTTGTTGTTGTTGTAGTTGTTGTTTATTTATTTTACATCGCCTGTCAAATGGGCAGTTCTGCCCAATTATTATGAAAGCGATGACAACCAGTAAGAAGAGTCAGAAATGAAGAGAGAAATAAATATAAATAAAAATACGAAAATGGAAGTAGCAATGAGGGGAGGCAGGGTTAAGACGAATAGAAAAGGGGTCTCAAATTTACAAGTCGGGTCATCTTAGCATGATTCTATCGAGCCTTATCAGCTAGGGTTTATCGGGTGTTAGCGCCCGTCGTGAGTTCCCTTCGGGAATGGATACGATAATTTACTTTTTTTTACTTTTTTTATCAGCAGGTTACGAAAGCCATTACATTTAACCGAAGTACGCGTAGCATGCGTTTGAATTCACGGATAGATACTATGGACTTCATACAGTCGGGCAGGTCATTCCAGAGTCGGCAGCTGACTAGAAGCGGTCAGCATGCCCCAGAAGCACTGTGGGCCAGAGGGAGGGGAAGGTTGCGTCCCAACTGACCTCGAGTGGTCATGCCTGTCGGTGAGCTATGCAATACAACTCGGGACGACAACAGCTCACAGACGATTCCAGAACGGATTCGAAATGTCAGGAGTCGGAGCTTGCATTCTCCTCGTTCCAGCACTGAGCAGACACCCAGCCTGGTGTATAGGGGAAGAGTGTGGGCCAATGGATGCTCATCGGCCACGCAACGGGTGCAACGTTCATCCAGTTTGGCTACTGTGTTCCGCTGCTCTGCGGACAGTCCTGGGAGAAACACATTCGACGCATATAGCATGTCCGGTATGACAAGGGCAGAGTAATACAGCATCGCCTGCCGCATTGTTAGGCAGTGCCGGATCTGGAGGAGGATCCGCAGCTTCATAGCCGTGCGTGGGACGATAGAGATGACTTGCGGTTACCAGCGAAGATTTTCGTCCAGAGTGACTCCGAGGTAGCGAGCCGTACTGGTCTGGGCAAGAGGCGTGCTAGTGCAAGTAATTTTTTTATACAATGGGAACACGGCCCTACAAAGAGACATGTGGAGACAAACACAAAACAAGTCACAGGGGATGTAGGGACGACGTGCCGATGAACAGGGAGCAACTCGACCGACCAGGGGTCTCGGCGTTAGCGTTGCAACCTGGCATCGAAAAAAGGGGGGTGCATGGTCAAGTAGCAAAAATAATAATTCGATGCGAGAAAGGGGTGCTAGTATTGCACCAAATACTATAAATACGTGTAATAACTAAACCAGAAGGGAAAAAGAAAAAAAGTAAAACAATGATCATAACAAGCAAAGTACTAGTAGAAAGGTAAAATACTAAATGGGTCTCAATATCATCGTCACAGGTACTGTGTGGACCACAGCCATCTCTTTCGGATTAGGTCCTTACATACGTTGACCTTGAAGGTTTGGAGGCGTTTTGAATGAGGTTCGTGAAGCAGGAGGTCCGCAGGCAGGTTGTTCCAGGGTGTGATGGCGAGGAAGGGGAAGGATCGCAGGAGGTAGTCAGGGGCTGTGCGAGGGGTGTCCACTTCAGCTGGAAGCCATGGTGCGTCTGACGTTTTTGCCGTGTGCACATGCTAGCTATGGCAGGGGGCTTGGTTGGTGGCAGCATGGCCTTTACCTGGGGAGGCCCTGGAATGTAGTGCAGCTTGTACAAGTATGACAGGGCTACCACCATCCGCCGAAGCTGAAGACTTTGGAGGGTGGTTCCAGGGCTCAGGAAATGCAGGGCACGTTGCTGAACCTTATCCAGCTGGGCCATGTTAGTTGCGGCTGCGCTCGACCAGGCCAGGATGGGTGCTGCCTTTCGTAGAAAACCCAGCCTTTGGGAGGCGCGCAGTGCAACACTGCGAGTGTGCGCTCTGTAGGAGAGAGTAGGGTCGAGCATGACTCCCAGCAGCTTCAGGGTATCTGTCTCCTGGAGTGCTTAACTTCTAAAGGTGACTGGTGGAGTCCGAGTGCAAGGGGGAACGTACTTGCGATGTAGAGTCATGCGCTGTGTCTTGGCTGGCTCAAAGCAGATACGCCACTTGCGGCCCCACTCCTCAAGACTGTTGAGGGGACCCCTGGAGGGAGGCAGTGGACTGTTGGAGATCGTCAGTTGGCTGTACTAAGCTGTAGAGTGTGGTGTCGTCTCAAAGCTGCTCAACTGCGTTCCTGGAGTTAAACATTGTTCAATGACACAGGTGTATGAAAGGAAGAGGCTGGGTCCTAGGATGCTGCCTTGGGGGACACCAGCCTGGATGGGTTGAGCATCTGAAGTCTGGCCTCCAACCACAACGCGGATGTTTCGGTTGGTGAGGTAGTCCTGTAGCCATACAAGCAGGCGTCCGTCGACGCCGGCCTGCTTTGCTTTGTACAGCACTTCTGTGTGCGATACCCGGTCAAACGCACCTGCAACATCCACGGCGAGGACCTGGACACAACCGCCAGTACTAATGGTGTGAACCCATTCATGTTGGAGAGCCGTTAAGATATCTGCGGTTCCTCTACCACGTCGGAATCCAAACTGGCTGTTTGGCAACACCTCATGCTTCTCCAGGTAGTTGACCAGTTGCGTGTGGACAATGCCCTCCATGACTTTCGACATGATAGTTAGCAGTGATATTGGTCGGTAGTTAGATGCCAAAGATCTGGAGGACCGCTTGTGAACCGGGATTACATGGGCAAGTTTCTAATGTGGAGATCGAGGTGTGCCTGCCGTCCAGCTTTGATTGCAAGCACTTGCGTCTTTCCGGTGTTGAGGATAAGCCCTTTGGCATCGAGTAGCCTGGCGACAGCCGACACTGCTGCGGAAAGGGTGATGTTGATGGCGTGAGCGCTAGCGTGGCTCAGGTACAGCATGATTTCGTCCGCGAGCATTAGTGTACGCACCGGGTCAGCTACTGATACCACCAAGAGTACATATAATTATGTACTCTTGATACGACACATCTCGTGTAGATCGCGAATAAGATCGGACCAAGCATGCTTCCCTGGGGGACACCGCACGTGCAAGCAGTTTCCTCTGAGTGTGTACCGTTGGCAGTGACCACACACTGGCGTCGTGCGCTGAGGACAGGTAGTCTGCAAACCAGTCCAGTGCCTAGAGGAGACGCCAAGTTCGAAGAGGTCCTGGAGCAAGGTCTGATGTTGGACCTTGTCGAAAGCTTGCTCATTTCTATGAGCATCACGCCGGTATGCATGTGCTGGTCTGCGGCTTCATAAAATTGATCCACAGCCAACAAGACTGCGTCCTCTGTGGAGTGGTGTGCTCGGGAAGCGAATTACTCGGCAGGAAGGAGGTCATGTTCGGGGAGGAGCGCACATAGCCTTTTATGCAAAATCCTTTCCAGGATCTTTGAAGCAACAAGAAGCAAAGATATAGCGCGGTAGTTCTTAGCAGTTTCGGGGTCTCCTGCCTTGAAAATGGGGCGAATATGGGCCAATTTCAGCATCATCGGAACCTTTCCCATGGCCAGTGACGCGTTCATCAAGATAGTCAGTGACGGGGCCAGGACCCGAGCGCAGTGTTGTTGTTGTTTATTTTATTTCGCAGATTCTAACGGGCAAGTTGCCCAATAACAAGAAAGCGAAGGCAAAGAAAATAATAATAATAATAATAAAAGTGAGCCAAGGAACAAATTTCCATGTTACAAATAATCGCCTTTAAAAGTAAAAAGAAAAGAGCGGGTGGTACAGTAGTCTTCCTATTGTTGAATACGAGAAAAATACGAGAAAAATACGAGAAAAATACGAGAAAAGGGCGACTGACGACATATCCAGACATTACAACGGGAACAAGTAGGTTGGTGGAACGACATTTATTAGATACGGGACAAGAGACCAAGACGAACGAAACGATTACATGGTAATTTTTGAAGAGTGAGAAAAGAGAGAGGAAGAGATCAAGTCTGAACGGCAAGATAAAGGGCCTTGGTAGCTATGGCAATTATGGGCGCGCAAGTAGCTACCCAGGCCAACGGAACA